TCCCTGTGATGACAATATCATCTACGTACACCAACATATATATAGTATCGGCAGCAGTGTGATATATAAATAATGAAGGGTCTGTCTTAGAGGAAGAAAATCCAAATTCATGAAGAGCCGAAGAAAGACATTGAAACCATACTCGAGGGGCTTGGCGTAATCCATAAATTGATTTCCTCAAACGGCAAACATAGTCTGGCCGGTCAGGATCAATAAACCCTGTTGGCTGTCGCATATATACTTCCTCGGACAGATTACCATGAAGAAAAGCATTGGATATATCAATCTGATGCAACGGCCAAGAGTTAGAGACAGCAATACCCAGAATTAGTCGGAGAGTCGCCGGTTTAAGCACCGGGCTGAATGTTTGAGAAAAATCAACTCCTGGTATTTGTTGAAAACCACGTGCCACCAATCTTGCCTTGTAGCGATCAATGGATCCGTCAGGATGAGTCTTGAGAGCAAAGACCCAACGATTTGTGAGAAGATTGCAGTTCGGAGGAGGAGGAACCAGATCCCAAGTCCGATTTCGGAGGAGAGCATCAAATTCGGCAACCATAGCTGCACGCCAAGGAGCTAGTTTCAGTGCTTGAGCTGCAGTGGTGGGCAAATCAGAGGAAACCGAGGCTAGAAAGTGTCGGGGTTTCAGGTTGCCAGTTTGCATTCGAGTGAGCATACGCCGTGGGGGAAGAGCCACATCGGGAGGTGAAATTATCCGTGGAGAGGTGTTGAAAGGCGGTCGAGAGGAGAGCGGAGGGTTTTTGGGGCGAGTTTGTGGTGAGGATGCTACCGTAGAAGACGGAGCAGGTGCATGGGGAGATCGGAGCAGAGATGAATTGAGAGCAGGGGGCTTATTCTGGGTGGGACGGCGACGGTAGTATAAAAGCGGAGGGGGTGGTGGAGGAGCGGTTGGAGGTGTGGTTTCTGGTAAATTGGTGGTTGTTGGATCAATAGGAGGATTGGATGGTGGAATGGGCTGGGCTTGTATGGGTGGGACAAGGGAGGTTTGAGATGACGTGGTGGAGGAAGGATTATGGGGAGGGGAGTAAGAAATAGATGATGCATTAGTGGGTGGGCTGGGTAGATGAATAGGCTCGGGAAGGAAGAGGTGGGGTGAAATGGTCTCTGGTGACCCGGAATGAATATTATGATAGGGAAAAACAGTTTCGTCAAATAGAACATGACGACTGATGTAAATTCGGCCGGTAGAGTGGTCAAGGCAACGGTAACCTTTGTGCAACTTACTATATCCCAAGAAAACACACGCAATAGAACGTGGTTGGAGTTTATGAGAAGTGTGAGGACGAAGCCAAGGATAACATAAACAACCAAAAACACGCAGATTTTTCAAATCAGGTGATTGATGAAATAAGGCATCAAAAGGAGAGAGATTACCAAGAAGAGGAGTGGGTGTGCGATTGATGAGATAGCAAGCGGTATCGAAAGCAAGTGACCAATATTTGAGGGGAACATGGGCTTGATGCAACATGGCGAGACCGTTATTAACAATGTGACGATGTTTTCTTTCCGCACAACCATTTTGTTCAGGGGTATAGGGGCAAGAAGAACGATGTACAATACCATGAGTCGAAAGATAAGAAGTTAAGGCTTGATATTCACCACCCCAATCAGATTGAAAAATTTTAATTGGAAGACCAAAGAATTTTTCAACAAGTTGTCGAAATTGAATAAAAACACTAAGAAGTTGAGATTTACATCGAACAAAATATATCCAACTGAATTTACTATAGTGATCATAGAATAAAATGTAATACGATTGATGATCATACGAAAGAAGTGGAGCAGGACCCCAAAGATCACTACAAATAAGTTCCAAAGGAGCAGATGCACGATAATGTGAAGATGGAAAAGGTAGTTTATGGATTTTACTAACAGAACAACCATGACATAAAGACGAAGGACTAGCTTGATAAGTTATTTGATGACGAGACAAAAGATGCTTAACAGCTTTGAGATTGGCATGACCCAGACGTTGATGCCAAAGATCAAGAGTGGCTGTGAAGGCACGAGGAAGAGAACGACCTTGAATACGAAGCGGAAGAGAATAGAGACCATCAACCGTAGAGCCACGGTAGAGTTCATTCTTCGTGTGGCGGTCCTTGATCACAAAATAGGAATCAAAAAAATTCAATTGAAATTGGATTAGAACGTGTAAGGGAACTCACGGAAAGAAGATTGTGAGGAGCATTTTGAACACGAAGAATATTGTTAAGAACATAGGATTTATTCGAAAGAGTAGCATGAGAAGAGCCAGAATGAGAAATGGGAAGGTGTTTACCATTGCCAAAGGTAACTTGATCGGTGCCATTATACTCAGAATGATGAGCAAGATTATCTAGATCGGAGGTGAGGTGATAATTTGCACCGGAATCAAGGAGCCATTTTTGGGACGAGTGAACCGGTTGAGATGACTGGGCTAGGTGTGAAGCTGGACCAGAATTATAGGTGAGTTTGGTTTGAAAAACTGGACTTGGACAATTGGGTCGGATATGGCCTTTTCCCCCACAGTTATGACAAATAACAGACTTTGAGCTGGAGGGCCCAGCACCAAGAACACCTGCAGACATGGGCTGAAACAAATTATTAGTGGAAGTAGCATAAACAGGCCGAGTTGGCCCATGGGAGTGTCGGCCGCCAAATCTGCCACCCCTGCCACGAGGGTTGCGTCCACCACGGCCGCCCCTTATGCCTCCACCTGCGTAAAAAGCTTGAGGATGAGTAGCTCCACCGGCAGAAGACTGAAAGCGACGGAGCTGGAGTTCCTCGCTGACCAAGAGACTACTCAGATCTTCAAAGGAAATCGGCTCCATCTTGGATTCTAGGTTGCGGGTGAAGGGACGGTAGTCCTCATCTAAGCCATCAATAACGGCGGTAACCAACTCAGCCTCAGTAATAGTTGCGCCCAGCGAGACCATTTTGTCAAAAATCCCCTTCGCCCTTTGAAGATAATCATGTGCCGAATCAGTGCCACGGTGGATATGGTTCAATTGCCGTCGAAGTTGTCCAATGATCACCGGAGATCCAGAGGCATATACGCGCGCCAATGTATCCCAGGCAGCCTTCGCCGTTGACTTGTTGATGACATGAGGCATGACTGCCTCGGATAAAGAGAGGTTGATCCAAGTCAAGACCAACTGATCTTTTTCATACCAGTCACCAAAGGCTGGATTCGGCTTTGCAGCAACAGTCTCCGGCGGAGCAGGAAGAGAGCCATCAACATGGCCGATAAGGCGATGACAACGAAGAAGTGGTTGCAGCTGCGCCTTCCACAAAAGATAATTCGTTGGATTCAGCTTCACGGTCAGTTGTGGGTTGGAAGGCAAGGAGAGATGAGACGATGTACAAGAAGAGACAACACCAGTAGAGGAAGAAGAGTTGTTCGATTCAGTTGACATGATGACAGAACAGAGAGGCCAAGAAAATAAGGGAAGAAGAAGAAGAAGAAAAAAAAATAGAGTACAAGGTAAGATGAACACGAGAGAGAGGGAGCAGAAAATAAAATTAGAGACTCTTTAGAGTTTATGATGCTCTGATACCATGAAGAAACACTATAGGGGTCGTTTGGATTAGAGTTTCTTATGAGGGATTTTGGCACAATCTCTCACAATGAGAGATTTTAATGAAATTACTCGTTTGGAAAGTGATTAATTAGTGAGAGATTTTAAACATTAAGAATTTAAAAAACCCTCAAACGTGGGTTTTCAAAATAGCTGATGACCACCAGCTATTTCGAAATCTCTCGTTTTAATTTTTTCATTTCCAAATGTTACCCTTCGGCCTTCCTTCTCCCTTCAATTCGAAGAGTAGACGCCGCCATTCAACATCAATGAACGCCTCCATCAGCCACAAAGCCCAGTCGCATCTTAGGAGCCGGCGGCGGCTGGTCCCGACCACTAAAGTCGACGGCGGCATCTCACAGCCCAGCCGCCATCAAGCTTTCTTTGCTGCAGAACCCATTGTGATTCATCATTCCTCTTGACGATGTTGTCAAGAACCCATTGTTGCAGAAACCGCTCTTCTTCCCGCAACCCATTCCCCATTCCCCCATTCTCCGCGATGTCGTCCAATCCTGTCGTTTGGGTTGTTTCTCTGCAGCACAGATCGCAGTAGCCATCAAATCTAGGTTCTTGAATCCAGTAATTGAATCTGATTCTGGCGATTGGAGGGGTCCGTCCATGGGAGCAGATGAATCGTCTTAAGGGATGACGATGACGAGCGACGAAGGTTGTGCCCATCCATGTCAGTAGATGAATCGTCCAAATTGAACCCAGAGGGCAGTTCTCCTGTTCGTTCCCATCGACGAGCAGAGTGGTTGGTGGTTCTGGGTTGATTTGCAACTCCGATATTTTGCAATCGATGAGGAAGATCTAGGTTCCTCTTCCATAGCCACCGCCAAATTGCGATACCGACGCCGGCGAGATCGCCGCCTGGAGAGATTGTAGTCCGGCAAGATTGCCGTCTGGCAAGGGCACCGGCCGTGAGCATGACAAGTTCGTCGGCTTCTTTGTCTGGTGGAGTTTTCCAGTCTTCGGTGGTTGAACAATGAACAGGATGTGAGAGGAGGAAAAAGGAGATGAGGGTACATTAGTCTTTAGCCAATTAGGGTTAAAATCTCTCATGTCTAACCAAACGAGTAAATTGGTTCAAATACCTCATTAAAATTTCCTGGGTTTTTAGTTGAGTGATTTGGGCCCAAATCCTTCATAAATCTCTCGAATTAAAATTCCTAATCCAAACGACCCCATAGTGTACTTGTTTAAGAGAGGAAGAATTATATCTCTGTTTCTTGTTTACATTCAGTACAAGACTGCCATTTATAGATGGCTAGCATGAGCTGTACAGATGCAAAGGAGATTTGCAAAGATATGAAATAAATGTGATTGCAGGCTTAGGATTTGATGAATATTGCAGATATGATTGTAGGAGTGTTCTACAAATAGTGTGCTGATATGGATGTGTCATAATGAAGTCTTGGATGCTTTATCACCCCCCACCCAAACCCAGAGCAGGGAAGGTCAGAAAACAGCTGCTGTAACTCGCATTTGGTCTCAGATCAACCGCCACCGGAGCGATGGCCGAGGTGTCGATGTGCAACAGCAACGGCGCCGCAGAGCTCTCGCCGGAGGAAGAGAGGGTTCTGATTCGCGATATTGCGCTCGCCGCCGGAGCCAACAGCAAAGAAGGGGACGAATTCTTTTTAATTACCCAGAGGTGTGTTCTCAAGCTTCCACCGCCTATTTCTTTTATGCATGTTGAAAGTTCCGCACTTGTTCTATTTTCCGCTTGGTTGGAAGATGGTAGGTTGAATTTAGTGGAGAGTTGGTGAAAGGTGTTTGTGGGTATTCGGGGTTGCCAAATGTTTTCAGGGGAGAGGGTTCCGATAAGGAATAGATGGATAACGAGCTGAGAAAGACATGAATCCTTGTCCATTTTAGCTCAAGCTATCTCTTCTGTGACTGTATTTGAAAATTCTGGATTGCTTGCTTCTCCGTTTCATTGCCAATGCCCCACTAATGAGATAGGAGATAAGGAGTGTTTAGTAAGAAACAATGGTGTGTGCATTCTAGTTGCTTTTGGACTATGCTAATGACAAGGCATTGGTTTGTGTACTCGTATGCTTGAGTTCTTATGGGCGTTTTCATCACTAAATGAGCATTGTTTTAGACAATTCATGGGGTTGCTTGCCCTTCTTTTTTGGTTGCTTGATAAATGTTAGTAATGGTTTCTTGATTCTTTTTTACTAGAAGATGGTGGCAGCATTGGATAGAATATGTCAATCTAGACCAACAAAATAGTACCAATGAAGGATCCTCAGTGTTGAATAATCATTCCGACTCCGTGAGTTCTTCAAAGCGGCCTGCTGGTATTGACAATTCTGATCTAATATACGATTCAGCATCTCATGATGACAACATCAGTGTTGAGATCCATGATAGTTTATTGGAAGGACGTGATTATGTACTGCTTCCACAGGATGTGTGGAATCAGCTACATTCCTGGTGAGTTGCTGGTAACTGACTTGCGGAAGTTCAGTAAGATGTCTGTGTTTGCTTTATCAGTTCCCGGCTTCCCGCACAACCTAGATTGGCAACAGTGGTGATTATCCATTCAGTTCTTTTGCGTCCTTGTTTCTCTTCTCTAAAACTTATAGTTTGTAGTAAGTTTGTCCATCCTACGCGGGAAAAACTTGGAGTTTTTTCTTGCTTGATAAGGTGTTGCAACATTTGCTTAGTTGTTTTGCTGAAATATATGAGAAACATCTGAAGGAGTACTGTGTCACTGGTAGTGCTTATTAAATATATAGGTATGGAGGTGGTCCACCATTGGCACGCAAAGTGATCAGTTCAGGCCTCTCTCAGACAGAATTAGCTGTAGAAGTGTATCCTCTCCGCCTTCAGCTGTTGGTTATGCCCAAAGGCGATCGATCAACCATAAGAATAAGCAAGAAGGTAAAGCTAGACATTCTCATTACTGACTTCTTTTTTCGATCTATCTATCTTCACTGTGATTCAGGATTGAAGATTGTTGATCATTCATTCGTCTACGCGCATTTAACATCTAAAGCTTATTTGGAACCTAATAAGATTAGAAGTTATAACCAAAATGGTCATGTGCATATCAAACTTTCACGCATATCAGCTTTCAACCTTGAGCACTATCATCACCACAGCCTCTATCCTTTCCAATATCACCATTATTGAAATGTGTAGACCAATTCACCGAAAAATGAACTGGAAAATGAACGTGAAATTCTTTTTAGATATGAGTAAAGGCATCGTAAGAGTATTCCCTGCAAACGTTTTACCTGTATATCACATTTTACTTGGTGATCCTTGAGTATATGTGTGTTTCCTGATTCTTGACAGCTGAATGGCATTGACAGGAAACTATAGGTGAGCTTCATAGAAGATCTTTTGAGATTTTCAATCTTAACGCAGAACAAGTAAATACTATATTTCCCTTCCATTCTCTTGGGAGCTTTTACTGAATAAAGATGTGCTATATGTGTTGTGAACTTCGCTTCTCTTTTCTTCTCTTGTATTTTGATGATACAGGTATGCATATGGGATTACTACGGCCATCAGAAGCATGCTTTGATGAATGACATGGATAAAACACTCGATGATGCTAACATACAAATGGATCAAGATGTGAGTCTTTTCTTTTGTTACTTATATTTTTTTCCAAAACATGTTTGGTGGATTGGTTTCATTTGAGCCTACAATTTCTGGTAGTTTTTTTTTCCGAAGCCAATTGTATTTATGTTGTTGATTAATCTAGTTTCTCTCAGAAGTCACTTCATCTTTTTGGGTAATGGATCTATGTTCTCAAAACCACATGTTATGCTAGCGGGTATTTTGTTCTTTAATCTCAGAATGACTGTGATTTTGTTTGCGATTGGGACTGTTTTTAGATGTGATATGGATAAGAAGTTAGCTGAGTAGTGTACCTTGTTTATGATTACGGAATAATAAATTGGAAGGGTGAACTATATGATAGATTGAGTAGTTTTTTTAAACAGGGTTCAGGAAATTCATCTGCTAAGGGTTTGAGTCTCTAGGATATCAGGTTTTGAGGTGTATCGAGTTCTTTTCTAACTCATGAGAGAACTGCTAACCTGCATTGTTAAATAGTATGGCAACATGGTAACATTAGTGTTATCCCATAGTGAGTATTTATTGCATGGAACTTGGAACCAATTCTGAGGTGACTAAGACTCCTAATCCTCACCCATAAGTTCTGACACTGCTGCCAAAAGTTGCAAAGTTAGGAATGGAAAGACAACCTGCAAAAGTCAATAAAAGCTAATATCTGAAAGTAAGTACTGACTTTCTCAAATTGCAAGAGAGCTAGTGATGGTAGGCTTCATTGTGCACCTTCCCTATGATGAATGGTAGTGACTTCAGAGTTCCTTCTGTTACTCGGTTTACACTAGGCTTTTATTTGCTTTTGTTCAGACTCACTCTCTATTCTCCACCCCCCAGTCTTCTTGACTCATGTTCACTTTCTTGAATTTTAGCATCACGTCTGTATAATAGTCTGAGCTATGCTCCTGAATTGATTGATAACAATCACTCTGCATTTGATTATATTTTGGTTCCAATTACATGTATAGACTGTTTTATTAATACAAGCATGGAACCCTGTCACTGAAACTTCAAGAGGGAAGCTCACACACAGTATACTGCAAAACAGAAAAACAACTAAATGTCTAAATGTTAGAATAGGCTTCTCATGATGTCCAACAACGTGTCCTTGCTAGCTTCCATTTTTTTTTTATGATTGCTTTCCACAATTGTATCTCAGTTTTTCTTTTTCTTTTGTTTTCCTCTTTTTTTCCCCATTTTTCTGCCAACATTTGCACAGATTCTCGTGGAGGTTCTTAGCAATGTCAATGGTACTGCATTAAGTGGTCATATGTGTTCTGTTAACAACAATGGATCTGCCAAGAAGGAAGCTACTTCTATTCTTTTAGAGCCTTCTAAGTCGACCTTATCAATTGCAGGAGGTTTCCCTGCAAGCAAAGGTGCGTCTAGAAGCTGCAGCTCAGAGATTTCGCAAGCTCGGAACATGACATTAACGTATAGGGAGTTGGATAATGCATATGGGATCAGCTGTGTTAGTACAAGAGGTTCTTATGGTGGCCTTACCGGGTTGCAGAACCTAGGCAATACATGTTTTATGAATAGTGCAATACAGTGCCTTGTTCATACACCTGAATTCGCTAAATATTTCCGGGAAGATTATCATCGAGAGATAAATTGGCAAAATCCCTTTGGCATGGTGGTGAGTTTTAAATACTTTAATACTTGTCTTACTGATGACAAGTTGCAAATATTCTTAAGTGAATCCAAAGTGCTCTTACTCTGTTAAAACACCGACTTATGTCCAATGCCCTTCTTGAAGGACTTATCTCTGTCAACTTAAGTCAATCTTCGAGTCATACATTAAAATGTTATCTTCTTAGTGCTTTGCTTAGGATATTGGAACCCAGAAGATGACCTGTTGCTCATTGTTGATACTTATGATTCTAGTAGCTATGGTTGAAATTGGTTGACTTGGTGTACATTAGTTTTTCAGTAACATATTAGAGGCTAAAGTATTCGGCTGGTGTTCGACTTATTTGGCAAGAGTTGCTATTGATTAACCTGCATTAAAAGACATCGGAACATGCATCATATTGGGATGCTTCATCTATGCTACATCAATGGTTGTTGTTTCTCTTGAAAAAGTTCCGTACTTCACATGTCTTTTGTTCATCCATAGATTTCTGTTCAGAAATTCCTACCATGAAGTCAATATGTTGCATATTACTTTTGTTGTGATAGAATCCGTTGTACTTGGCAAACTTGCATTGAACTATGTGACAATACATATTAATTCATGGAGCTTGATCGTTTCTTTTGTTAGGGTGAGCTGGCCTTAGCATTTGGTGATTTGTTGCGGAAGCTCTGGGCACCAGGGCGAGCACCAATAGCTCCTCGCCCATTCAAAGCAAAGCTTGCTCGCTTCGCTCCTCAATTTAGTGGTTATAGTCAGCACGATTCTCAGGTTTGTAAAACCTACAAAGCTCACATATTGTTATGTGTTTGGAAAGTTTGTCCAGCTTTCTTACTTTACTGCATATTTTATTTCCTCAGGAACTTTTAGCTTTTCTCTTAGATGGTCTCCATGAAGATCTGAATCGCGTTAAACAGAAACCGTATATAAAGTCCAGAGATGCAGATGGGCGCCCAGATGAGGAAGTTGCTGACGAGTACTGGGCAAATCATATTGCTCGGAACAATTCTATAATTGTTGATGTTTGCCAGGTTGGATTTTACATCTGAAATCATATATTCTGAATATTTTGCCAATAAGATCATATGATATGCTGTTTTGGACTTCCGATTTGTAACAGCATTGCTCATATGTGGTCTCGTGTTGTCTGATTGCCAACTGGTGAGCTTTTTTTTTCTTGTGCAAGCCTCTTAAACATTTCCTTATTGTAACAGGGCCAATACAAGTCAACTCTGGTTTGCCCAATATGCAACAAAGTATCTGTGACGTTCGATCCCTTCATGTACCTCTCCTTGCCTCTCCAATCCGCAACCACCCGTTCTATGACTCTCACCATCCTCACTTCTGACTCGACTACCTCGCCATTTCCCTGCACTGTGTCCGTGCCAAAGCACGGATGGTGCCGCGATTTGATCCAAGCAGTTAGCATCGCTTGTTCCTTGAAGACCCACGAAGAACTTAAACTTGCTGAGGTCCATATGATTCATTGGCATTACGATCATACCTTCAAATTTTACATATTTTATTCAATGCTTATTTGTAAGAAAATTCTTGCAGGTGCGTAATCATCAGTTTCATAGATTCCTAGATGATCCTTGTTTGCCTTTATCCTCAATCAAAGACGATGACCGCATAGCTGCGTATAAGATCTCAAAGTCTTCAAAGAATTCACTTCTGCTTAGGTTGATTCACCGCTGCAGACCCCAGTATGTGGCGTTATCCTTGTTTTCGATAATTCCATTACCATGATATACAGCGTGTGTTTGTTTTAGCTTTTGCTTAGAGCACTAGTCATTCAACTGTTTTCCTTAAATAAGTTGAAACAAGCAGAGTCATATTTCTATTTCTCACTCGTCAATATTATGGTCTTGTGTACTTCAGGGAAACGGGAAGTAATGGATTATCGTCTCAGTGGAATGCTTTCGGAGTTCCTCTCATTGCATCCATTCCGTATGAAGATTCTATTACCAGAGGAGATATACAGAGAGAAGTGCAAAAGATTCTTCTACCATGGTTTGGAGGGGATAACTTGATACAGGACACTGATGGTGATATTTGTGCCGATTATGTGACAGACTCACCAAAAACCAATGGTTGTCCTTCAAAGACATTGTCATTGAAATTTTCTCTACAAATGGCCGATAAGAGTAACGAGTTGATTGATCTCTCGGCCAAAGAAGGGAAATCCATCAGAGTTGCCACATCATCAGCTCCAGCAGTGGTATATGTTGATTGGTCTCGAGATCTCATCGAGAAATGCAGTGCCAAGTACTTTGAGAACTTGCCGGAAGTATTCAGGTATGGACCTGTGAGTAAGAAAGCTCGTACAGAACCCCTCTCTTTGTACACGTGTCTAGAAGCTTTCCTGCGTGAAGAGCCTTTGGTTCCTGAAGACATGTGGTTAGTATATTTTTCTTTCCTCTGCTATATAGCTAATACTCTCCCATAAGATGGCTCCCTCTGCATTTTCGTTCTTGTACTTCTGTTTCATTTAACCAAGGGTCAATTAATGGTTACTAACAAACTGGTTTGCTGAACTTTGATTCTTAGCAAACTTGTCACTGAAGTTTGGCATAACTAATAAACAACCATATTCTGTTTCAAGGCTTTTGTCCAGATTTTCTAGGTTATTGCATCAACTCCCCAAGTTAGTATAAAAAAGAGGTTAGATGAAGCCTCTCGGATTAGTTGTTGGGCAGCCGAAGGAACTATTAAAGTAGTTCTGGATGATGTAGATTGGAAATGGGTCTGATTTGGATGTATACGGGCGAGTCCATACTCTAATCTGGATAATCTGGACGGAAAACTTGACGAACATTTCCGGTATTTGAGTGATTCTAAACTTGAGTAACTGTCTGTCAAAAATCAAAGTTCTTTAACTGATTTGTGAGTGACCGGTGACCATTGGTATATGTGTTCCTTGAACGAAAAAGATTGCTTAGTAATAGCGATGCACTTGTTAAAGGTATTGTCCACAGTGCAAAGAACGGAGACAAGCAAGCAAGAAGCTTGATTTGTGGAGGCTTCCAGAGGTGCTGGTGATCCATTTGAAGAGATTCTCATACAGCAGGTCTATGAAACACAAACTGGAAACCTTTGTCAACTTCCCAATAAGGGACTTTGATCTGACAAACTATGTAGGCAACAAGAATAGCACCCAACGTCAGCTCTACGAACTGTATGCGCTGACCAACCATTATGGCGGCATGGGAAGTGGGCACTACACGGCGCACATCAAGGTAGAACAAATTCAACTTTAATCCTCTTTTCTAACTGTCAGTGAATGAATTGTCTTGCTCTGCTCCCAGTGTTATTATGAGCCTGTGTGAGTAATCAGTATCGTGGTGATGCTTATCTGTTCTTGTCTGGTATGGCCTGCAGCTCCTGGAAGAAAACAAATGGTACAACTTCGACGACAGCCATATCTCACTCATAAACGAGGATGATGTGAAATCAGCTGCTGCGTATGTACTGTTCTACCGAAGGGCGAGGAGTAATGACAATGTCCTCACCAGCAACGGGGCACTCCCTATCCCTATTGAGCCCAAAAGTGAGCCTTTTCAGACGTGAGGGAATGCAAACACAGCGTGTAGTGGATTGCAGTTTGAAGAAGACATCTAAAAAGCCATAAAATGTTCTCTTTCAGCAACCGAAAACGAGTTTGCTCAAAACATTTCCTGCATGAGCGATCTCTCTCACACCCACACCCACAACAGGGGAGCATTCATTAGAGATGTAATTGGTAGAGCTTAGTGTAGTAGAAAATAGGATTTACTCCAGACTAGATGTTTAGGATGCATCAGTAGCTGGGTTATAAGCTGTACTCTTTTTAACTTGCAATTCCTTGCACTATCAAATGCTTTATCATATTTTCTACATTCTACTGCTGCTCTGATGTCACAGTCTTTCGCGCTTGGTATCGTGTGTAGCTTGTAACCTGTCAGAGCTTCATTTGACAGCCAAAGGGTGTATTTTCAGGCCAAAATGAGCAGAATTGCAGAAAACACCAACGCTCCAGTGCGATTTATGATTCTTTGATCAGCTTATTTTCTCAAAGGGACAACTACCAATTAGATAGTGATCGTTCTACGTTTCAATCTCTTCAAACACAAACACAAGTGCGAAAACAACTTTATTGATGTTCTTGTATTAGAAAGGCAAACATTATGCTTCCATAACTCGTGTCAGGGATACAATACTCCAGCCAACAAATTAAGGAAGTGTTCTCTCCTATCATAAACTAACTATCCCAGAAACCAACACCTCCATTAATCAACCACTTCGCTCAGCGACTCTAACAACATTCGAGGTACAAAGGCAGACGTTCAGGGTGCAGAATACAGGGTTAGGGTTCTTATAGATCATCGAAGCTAGGTTTTCTATTTTCTCTCTCTCTCTATACAAAACTGAAGGCCTGCAGTACACATTCTCAGTTCTGTGACTCCTCAGGCCATTTCTTCAAGCTCTTACCAAGTGAGGACTAGAGCGGGGAAGCATGCACGAATAAGTAACATACTTGACACTGTCCACTAGTACAACAACAAACACTCGAGAGAGGGACTTTGGGAGAAACACACCATCCACTTCAGTATCCGCGATTTCTCTGGGATCAATAAGCACGGAGACGACCATTGAAGAGGCTGGTGGTTTATTATTATTACCTTGAATGTTGAATGTCTCGTTGTTTCGCCCCTTGTGTTCTCCAGTGACATTGAGATCTGAATCCGGGAAGGGCACTGGAAGGCCATGGAGGATTCTTCTATGCTTTTTCTTGTCAGAGGGAGGAGTAGCTTTCTGGTGGGGTTCTCTGGTGAGATTAGTGACTGGGGGAGAAGACACTATGGCACCAGGAGATGGTGAAACGTCAAATTGAAACACTTCACTGCACATTCCAGAACTCAACATAGGACCTGCAGCAGGAAAAGGGAAACAATATGTCAATCCCTAAGCAAACATTAGTACATCATCCATCATTAACAACAACTGTGACTAAGTTAGAAGTGCTTAACCCCAAATACATCTTATTTGCACTTATGCTCATGGTAACATCTAGCATGCATTATCCAGCCATTCCAAATCATTGAGGTTTGAGAATGAGATCAGTTTAATTCTCTTATAGTTAGGTAGGGAAAAATTCAACTGTTGACTGAGGATCCATTAACTCAAATCACTTGGGTTCATGGGGGAGAAAACATACTTGAGCAAGTTTTATAAGCCAAGAATCACACAGTGAAATCACTATATATGAACGAACATGGTACATATACATCATAAATGGCTAGAGAAAATCATCGGTTACCAATCAATGATTTATATGTTTACCTGCAAGACCTTGATGGAACCACTGCTGCAGTTTACCATCAGCAGCAGAAGACTTGAACTGTTCCTTCAAATTATCAGTAGATCCAGAACCAATGGCCTTCTGTTGTTCAGCAGGATTTCTATAGATCCTCCCCCTATTGTTTCCATCAGGGATAGCCAAAGCCCCTGAGAAATCCTGAGGTATTGCTAAACCCGTCTCCATGGGTTTTGCTTCAGGAGTCTTCTTCTCCTGAGATTCTGTTGTTGTTGTTGTTGTTGTTCTCTCACTAGCCAGAATACAGTGAATTATCAAATTCCCATCAATCTTCACGAGCTTATCATTCCGTGGCACATACAAGGATGCATGAAGTTGCTCACTCGAGTTATCCGGATGTGAAAAACCACCCGGTTTGGGTATATGATCTGCACCTCCATTCTTACTTTTCTCGCAGTGAATTCTGTTGATGCTGTTGTCACTAGATTTATTCGAATGCCCATCAGCTATCAACACTCTCCCACGAAAATGCTGATCCGAAAAACTATCATGAAACCGGCGATCTACATTCTCTCCAGGCCCTCCATACTTAACGTTGATAACAGGCAATAGCCCACCAAACATAAAAATGAAAAAGAGCAAACCCAGAAGACTAACACTAGCAACTTTCTTAGTCTTGGCCTCGGACTTTTTAGTCGTCGTCTCACCCTTCTTGGATTTAGCACAAGCCACGGGCTGCTGGGGTTTCAATCTAGGGATAGGAACCAGGGGAACCTGAGAACCTTGAGGCTTAACAAAGTAAGGAGGACAGGGCATCCATGGATAAGCCATGGGAGCCATCGGCGGTGGATAAATAGGAGGTGGACACATGCCATTGCCACCACCCAATTGTTGCCTCAAGCTAGCATTCTCAGCCATAAAGTACGAAACTTTACCATTCAAGTCAGCAATCGCAGAATGCATAGCTCTCACCTTATCCTCCAGCTCCTCCACGTAATGCTTCTTCCTCTGCCTCGACAGCTGCGCGCTCTCTCGGTTTCTCATCAGCCTGGCCTTCTTCTTCTCATCTTCTTCACCGAAAGGTCCAAAGCTGCCGCACTCCTCAGTCTTTGTATCGCTCCCCTGCGACGAAGAATTCGATTTGGGAATTTCAGAAACCCTACATTTCTGCCTTCTGGAGGACGCATCGTTACTCGACTCCTTCTTCCTCTTCGGCAACGCGCCGTCGCCGCCGCTCTTCTTTTTCTTCACAATCGCTTCCTCATCTTTCCCCGGAAAAGTCCCCGAACCAGGAGAAGACGCATTCGTCGTCTCAGAAACATCAGACCTTTCTCCATTTCCAGAACCATGCGACGAAACAGGAGACGCAGCAGTACAATTCGATATCCCTACAGCAGCTGAAGCCGTACTCCCTTCATCGGAATCGCAACTCCCAGCACGAGAAGGCGAGCGATTGAAATACTTCTCAACGTCAGAGCAGCCACCACCCCCATCTCCACCAGACACCACAGAATTCCCCGATCCCGGCGATCCGTCAGCCTCTGGTGCACCGCCGGAATCCGGGGGAGGAGGGAAGGACTCGGTCTCGGAAGGGAAGGAAAGGGGATCGGGGAAGCCGTCGAAATCAAAGTCTAGGTCGAAATTAGCGTCGAAATCGAAGGAGGAGAGATCGGTAGGGATGAAGCCGTATTGGTCGGGGTTTGTGGAGGAGGAGAAGAAGAGCGGGTCGAGGGGAGGAGCGAGGAGCGGATCGGCGTCGGGGATCGGCGGAGGAGGAGGGTTAGGATCGAGGACGGAATCCGCCATTGTTAGAGACTGATTGATTGGAGAGGTTTTCCGCGATCGGAAGGGAAGGAAGCGGAGAAGAAATAGGCGGAGGAGAAGACCCTCCAGAGACTTCTTCCGATGGGGTTTTAGTGGGGAGTTAACTAATTAAGGAAGTAATTAAGTATTAAGTTACGTATTTGGTGTGCTTAATACTATTTATGAGGAGTTATTAAGGTCGATAGGATTGAGGTAGAAGAAAGAGCAATAGCGTGGGATGATATAGGACAATTTAGTATACGGGTCAATAACATACTAACAAATCGGCCATTGAACTTTCATTTCGTAATAATTCGTGAGAATCACTCTCCTATACACCTAGGCCCCAACACCAATTATCGAAGACGCAAATCATTGTAATTAATATATGTAAATTAAAATCAAGAGGTTGGCCATAATTAGCAAGGTAATGGGTTTTACGAGAATTTGTATAGGTAAGTGAGTTGCATAGGCTTATCGATTGTGCTTCATATTTATGTAACAATTTGTATTTTGAGAGGATTGGTAAATTTGTTGATAAGACAGTGCAGTAGCTCGTACAATTAGACAATAATACATGTATGATAGACCAACTAATTGGCTATGGAGTAGGAGGAGGCAGACTGTAATTAATTTGATTTTTAAGCTAATTATAGTTAGTGCTTCATTTTTAATAGTCAAATGGAAAACTAAATCTAGATTGGGAGACATCATTACATCAATGATGAGTTTGTCGATTATTAAAGTTTAATGGGTGACTTGTGACTGACTTAAAGATTTGTTGACCATTTTGTAATTGATCCACTATATTAAAACAGAAAGGGTTAATAGCAAAAACATACCCCTTCTATTATAGTAAATTAACAAACATACCCCTCTACTAAATTTTTGCACACACATACCCTTCTTATATTAAAACGTAACAAGTTTACCCTTCCATCTAAATTTCAGTTAAGTAACCATTAAAAGAGCTGGAAAATGACCAAATTGCCCTTCACTCCTAATTTCAATTTTAATTATTTTATTATTTATCTCCTTTAATCAATTAATTAAAAATTTAAACCCTATGCTAATTCAGAATCGCTCCGTGTCCCTAGGTCACCCATGGCGATCGACTCGTCGGCGGCGGCGGCGCCTGCTCCTCGCTCTACCTGCCTCTCGTCGACGGCCACCGGAGATCCGACGTCTCCGCCCCCAAACGACTCGGCCGCGGTGACGGCAAACTAGTTCTTTTCAAAAAAACCTCAGACCAACTCCGATTCAAATTCCAAGTCACCCACGACAATCAAGTCAAGAGCTTTATTGCCGGAGCGCTCGCCACATCGCAAAATCCCAACCACCGAACCTTCAGCGGTTGTAAAAACAAAATCAAACAGTATGGACGGAATCGGCGTATGGGATCATTTCACCGGGAAGCATGTTGATTTCTTCTACGAATCCCCCTGATGGTCTCTAGGTCACGCCAATCAACTCCATTGGTTGGACGAAAAGAACTCTTATAGATAGCTACTCTGACAATTGCTATATTAGTCTTCTTGATTTAAGAACCAAGGACATGCCGTAGTCGTGGTCGGACGTTGGAGCTCCGGTGATCGTCGACGAGAGGCAGGTTCGGCGAGAAGCAGGCGCCGCAACTGAGTCGATCGCCAGCGGTGAGACGGACAGTGATTTTGAATTAGTTTAGGGTTTTATTTTATGAAGTTAATTGATTTAATAAAATAATTAAAATTGATTAGGAATAAATGAGGGGCAATTTGGTCATTTCTCAACCCTTTTAACGGTCACTTAACAGAAAATTAGACGGAAGGGTACACTCGTCACGTTTTAATATTAGGAGGGTATGTTTGTGCAAAAATTTAGTACAGGGGCATGTTTGTTAATTTACCATAATAGAAGGGTACAAAATGCTATTAACCCAAACAGAAATGATGAAAGCAGAAAGAAGCAAACAAGCGTAGGAATGCGCCAACGGTTTGCAGGCTTTGTAGTGGCGCGGGAGGACAAGCCGTTAGCTTCACGCAAACTCAAAGGGAAGAAAGAAAGAAAACCCCAAAATAGGAGTGGAAAAAACAAAACAAACTAAAAAGGAAATCAAGCCTTCAACAATACATAGAATATGATATTCTTGAAGGTCTGATTTCATACTACTAATCATTATAAAAATATTTTTTTCTTGCCGAACGAATATAATATTCCTATAAATCATAAATTATATTATCATTACACAAATATCATATTCTCCGCTGGGAGAAGAATAGTAGGTGGATTGGTTGTTACTTGATTTTATAGAACTTCTTATGATCAGCGGACTCATCCGTACCATACTGGCAACGTTCCACAGGAGGATGGACGATGTCTTCATGACAATAGACACAACCTTTACGAACACGATCTACAAAGCAGCAAAATTAGGATGATCATTATCTTTAGATATCTATCTATCTATCTATCATCAGAGTTAATGAATTAGTACTCTAATTACTTACTTACCGGGTCCAAATTGAGCCAAGTCTATGCAATCAAGGATCCGAATACCCACATCACCATAGTATTGAAGCGTCTCCACAAAAAACTCGTGAGTAGAAGTGCTGTTTTCCTGCCTGGCAGTGAAGGTGGCGTGGCAGGCCATTGCAAGGTGGAAAAGAACAGAGCGGCTGAGAAGCGCCTCATGAAGCACATAATTCACACCCTGTTCGAATCAACCCATACGAATTATCAACCATTCAGGATCATCAAGCAAAGCATTCAGTCCACTGATTGCAGAGGAAAAAGGGAATTGAGGGAGCAGAAAAACAACAACAACAACAAAAACAAACAAACCAGCTGAATTACATGTTTCCCGTTGTAAAACTTCACAGCAAGTCGGGCAATTGAGGCAGTTTCCTCCTTCCTGATTTCTTGATCTTCAGCGTCTGACATAGTACTGTACAATGTCCAATATATGTCAAGTTACAATCAGATTGATTGAATAAAAACAAGGGCAGAAACAGAAGAGAAAAAAAAAAGTAATGGAGGCACATAGCTGACGGGAACAAGAGCTCCGAATATCGAAAACCACGAGCATGAACCGATTTCAGCATCAGATTTATGACTATAAAAACTCATTATGATGATCCTCGAGCTATAATGGCGGCCAGTTTCTCATGAAATTTGCTGTCGGGGCGAAGGAATCGATATGTGACCGGCAGGTTATTCCTGGCAGCCTCCTCCTCGTCATCAGAAGTTTCGACATCAGTTAGCTGCTCTTCCACAGGCTCTATCGCACCCTGCTGCTGCTGCTGCTGCTCGTCAAGATGATCATCAGCTCCACCGAACTCCGAGTTTTGCCTTTTGGGTGAAGGAGGTTCCTCTGATGCCACGATCTGATCTTTTCGCTCCGCCATTGTTGGTTGATTGTCAACGGCTGTGGATTAGCAGCAGTCTCTCTTCTCTTGCTAATTCTATCGAAGATGTCTAGTCTAGGGTTTCCGTCTCCTCCTGGAAAATGGAATATCTGGACCAAGCATATTAGCCCATTAACATAACAGCCCACACTTGCTCGCTCCTCTTTCCTTTCCTTGAATGATCTTGTAATGAAGGAAGTGAGAAACTTTCCATCCATTCACATGTTTAATCATTGGTTAACAGACGTAACAAGAAAAAGGGCATAAATGATGGAATTTTTAAGCTTGATACGCATGGGTCTAGATGGCATTCAGTTTTTTCAAGCGATTAACCATGAAACTTATGAATAATGAAGAGAAATTAACTCAATCCTACACAACTGCATCAGATCACATATTGCCGTATCTTGAACGTTTCATTATGGAGGTTTTCTTCTAGCCAAAAGATGGGATGAGTGTTAGCGTTTCGTACCTCCTGCTCTCAATGAAGCCTTGCTGTTTGAGATCGTACAATTGGAATGAAACTGCAGAAGATAACAAGGTTGCCAACTTCAGATACATCAAAGTATTATAATGAGACAAAAAATTTCGGAGAATTCGACAGGGAATCTAGGGATAGGAACCAGGGGAACCTGAGAACCCTGAGGCTTAATCAAGGAAGGAGCACAGGGAATCCATGGACAAGCTAGCATTCTCAGCCATAAAGTATGAAACTTTACCATTCAAGTCAGCAATCGCAGAATGGATAGCTCTCACCTTGTCCTCCAGCTCCTCCACGTAATGCTTCTTCCTCTACCTCAGTCAGCTGCGCTGCGCACTCTCTCGGTTTCTCATCAGCCTGGCTATTTATTGACCAGCAAAATCATCTAATACATTTGGTCATTAATCTACATTCTATAGTCACAATTCCTCTTTTTTTTTTCTAACACATAAATGTCAATCGTGATTTATTTAATTAAATGATAAATTTCCCCCCCAAAAAATTGTGCTTGATTAAAAATACAAGTTATATGCTAGATTATTCAATAAAATATCTTCAACGATTATCGGATTTTCCTGAATTTAGACTAGCTAGCTGCCAATGTTCTACTAAGCAGCTAGGCTTGAGCTTACCAACAAGTAATCTCAATACTATATGCAGAAAGGAAGGTATCTGCAAACTTGGATTCAATTGTCAATACTCAATAATAAGTAAGCTTTATTAACAGACTAATTAAGCACAAGAACTGATGGACAAAGAACCAAAACCGAAATGACAAAAAGTTACTTCATTTCTAACCAGGAAGCTCTGAGAGGGAAGCAAAAAGATGAAGAAACAAAACCTAACAAGCAAACAAAAGAAAGTCCTGTAGAAGTTGTTGAGACCTCATCAATTGAAGTCCTTCAACCTCTTCTTCAGTACCTCCATCGATCTCTTCTTGGCGCTCTGCTTCGCATTCCTGTTAGAGAGACTACCGAAGATCGAATCAGCTGAATCCTTGAACTTCTCACAAATGGTAGCCACCTTCTTATAATCCAAAGTGTTGTAGTTCCTCTCCCGGATCACAGGGTTCATGAAGTTCTCCGGCTGGCTGCTCGACAGAAGATTAATCAGCTGCCTTGCTTCCACCAAACACGACCTGAAACTCGCTCCCTTGTATATCTCACTCAGTCCAGTACTATGAAACCTCTCATCAGCAAAATTCTCCAACATCTTCAAATCGTAGTTTAAAGCGAGGACTGCATTGGCGTTGAACCTCTTCACAATATCACTCAGAAATGCTCCAACAATGGAGTTCGAAATATGTTCCAAAGCACCACAACCAACTTTGTATAAAGCATCCAGAGGCAGAATCTGTTGAGCAGTCGATAAAAGTGTGTCGAGGTAAATCACCACCTCGTTTATGTACTCATTCCCATTCTGAGGCGTCTCCTCGGTAGTCCACTGAACATTATCAGTAAGAGCCATGAACTCATCCAACTTGGTGTCCACTAATGTCAAAAGCGCCAAGTAAGCAGCATCCCTTGAAGTTTTCAGGATCACTTTAGCAGTCAAACTAGCTTGAGCCCTCTCGAGTGACCGAGCAGGTATTCCACATAGCTGGGCAGCATGCCGAAGGAAGAAATCGCATGCACGTTCGAGAACCGATATATTTGCTGCAATCTGCATGGCTTGAGATACTCCAATGGTGCTACTGTTGATCGTACTAAGCACAACCTCATTCAGAACATCGATTAGTATCTTGTCCAAATACTTCCTCACAAGATCATAGATGTTTGTGTGGAGACCATATGACAAGTAATCTACAGAACCTTTGATGAATGACCTCACAATGCGACAAGTGTCAGGTACCATGGATGAGAATGGTGCTACATACGGGAAAGCAGGCATGATCTCCGACGTCTGGAGCTGAAACACGAGGACATTATTCTCATAATCTGTGTCCTTCTTTATCACCATTTGCTCGTACGTGTCATTTCCAAGGGCACCAACAATTTGCTCTCTACATTCCCTCAACAGAAAGTCGTGGTACTTCTCTCGGCCTTTGTCCAGAGCCTCCAAGAGTTGGCCTGTGTCATAACCATATTGCCGAAGTGTTTCAGAAAGAAGTGTGACATAATCCTTCACTAGTAAGAGATGAGTAGCCGAATCTGTGCGGTTGAACTGATCATCTAACAAAGATGTCACTTTATTGACAGCTGTTTCCCACATTGTCTCGACTTTATCTGAAGAAAGAACACCACTAGCAGTCCTTAATACGCGATCCTCAACAATGAAGTAGCCAGCAATTTGAGCCAAGTAGGTCTGGTAGGATTCAATAAACGGTTGACCATATGAGATTTGCAAGTCTGAGTTCAGCTGCAGGACACGGTTTTTATAGTAGTAGTCACGGAACTGATCACGAATCCCAAGGCAAGCATGGATGTGATGAGCTCGATAAAGAGGAGTGAGATCAAATTGTAATACTGAATCTTCATCGATTTCCTCAACATCTAGAGTGAATGCAAAGTCTCCTCCTAAACCGGAAACATTCTGCTCCTCAGCTCTCCTCTGCCGTTCCAGCATTTCTTCATCTCTCTGGCGAGCTGATGCTGAGTGGCTTATCGCTGTCTGGCCAATGGTCTTTGCTGAACTCCTTACATGAACAAGCCACTCATTGAACTGACTGGTTACCTTCTTCTCGATGTGTGTTTTGATGACCGGGATTGTCTTCTCCACTGCCAGTTTAAGAGATCTCACAGGGATGTTCTTCAGGTAATTCTTCTCGACCAAGTCCACAGTCTTCAATGCCGGGTAGAAGTTACCATCCGTCATGTGGTTGTTGCATTTGACACATAGCTCAAGGACTTGAACACATGATTTTGACAATTTGATGCCTTCGGTGACATTCTTCTTGATGGAATAGGACTCAAGAAGGTCCTCGAGCTTGATCAAGAGAGAGTTCCCAACTCCCTGGAGCTTGATGTTATCACTTGCGAGCTCGCCTTTGAGCTCTTCGGCATCAACAAGGACACCACGAAGCTCATCAACTGCTAGGATGAACTCTTCATAATGGCTCTTGCAAAGGTCCTCAATCTCCACTTCTTTTTTCTTCACTACACCTTTCAGTTGTTGGAGGAGGGCTTCAGGGCGTCCCATCTCAAAGGCGTGCCTAACGATTGGACCCAAATCTTCGCCATTGCCGATTAATGTAGCAAGGACTAGGTCTTCCCCTGTATCCCCATTCTCCACCACAACTCTCCTCTTGGGTTTTGGATCCATGGAAAATCCTGCAAATGTGAAACCAAATCAATGGCACATCTAATGATTCTTCATCATCTAGCAATGAAAACGACCAAAACAGAAACCAAATCCCCTTAGATTCCATGCACGTATTCAACTGGCTTCAAATTTCCCCATTTCTCAGTAAATGTAAACATTTCCCGGAAACATAACACTCAGAATCAGTAATCAATCGCAAAACTCCTCCATGAATCATATGAACCCTCAACAAACTAAACCCAATTCCGGGTTTCGCCGAAACAGCAAAACCGAATACTGTAAAACGAACAACTACATCACAAGGAATCGTCGATCAACCCCACAAAACACAAACCCTCGAAATTTTTCAGGACATCAAAAGAACCCATCAAGGAGAATTGAAATCAAATTGGAGAGAGAGAGACACTTACAGGAAGGTATTGAGCGACAGCACGCAGAGGGGGGAGGCTCCCTATCTCATCAAAGCTGCCGTCTTCGGCAGAGAAAATGAAAGAACAGAAACCAGCTGCGTTCGGTTATTGCCTTGTTTTAATCGGCGGAATGCTATAATGACAATATGACATTAGTAAGCGAACAAGAAAGGGGAAGAGTACTTTATTCAATAAGTCGTTTTCGTGGAGGTGGAGATGCTGTGGTGGCGATTCCCATTGCTTCGTCTTTGTCTGTTGTCACCTTTCTCGGCGTGTCTAGCTGCCTGCATTTCGTCGTTCCATTTGCGGTGGTTTTGGTGGCTTCTTCCCCGGATCAAACTCGCTCCAGATGTCTCATTTCTGCTTTTCCCGTCAGCAAATCTGTTCGAAGAAGACTCATGTGTTTCTTTTCTTTTCTTTTTTGTGTCGTGCTGGGCCTGAGTGGGCCTTTCAGTCTTGGTGACTTGGGCTTCTGTTACTCTCGCTCCGTTAATTGGAGGCCAGGCCACAAAGTCTTGCGTACTTCATGGAAACGGGAAGTAATGGAATATCGTCTCAGTGGAATGCTTTCGGAGTTCCTTCCTCTCATTGCATCCGTTCCGTTTGAAGATTCTATTCTTCTACCATGGTTTGGAGGAGAAAACTTTACACAAGACGCTGATGGTAATATTTGTGTCGATCATGTGACTGACTCGGCAAAAAGCAATGGTTGTCTTTCATTAGGATAATTTCCTAGTATAGCATAGTTTGTAGTTTGATATAATCATTGGATTATTGACATAAATGGTGTATTTGATGTTTTTAATATAGTTGTTCTTTGATTCATTTCTATTACCTAATCAGATGGGTATCAATTATCAAATATAAAGCAAAGAGGGCCAATAAACAAAGCGATTTGGGCCGGCATTGCCGGCGTGCTGGATATAAAATATTGAGCTGGCCCAATAGCTTGGCCCATCGGAGTGGAAGTTACTGGATTTACAAATTGAGCCAGTTTATTTATTTATTTTTTATAATATTTATCCTACAGCCAATTTGACTTTGTCGGGGAGGAGTTCAGATTTCAAGAAAGAGCAGAGGGCGGGAAAAACACCAGCCGGGAAGCCGGTGAAAATTTGAAAGCGGCGAGACAACAGGCTTTGAGACTCCGCTCCGACCAAGGGTTCCGTCGTCTGCATTTCTCGAGGTTCTAGCACCGTCCGGTAACTATTAGACGGAGTGGGCGAGGTGGAAATGGAGCGGATTCACGTCACAGTTCGAGCAAGGCCGCTTCCGCTGGACGACGCTAAATCCAGCCCCTGGAGGATCTCCGGGAACTCAGTCTTCATCCCGAACCATAGCACCAAGTTTGAATTTGGTAACAGACACTTCTCGGCAACTGTTGTTTCCTTTATTCAGATTCTCATCTTCAGAACCTTTGATTCTCAAAGTCCCGTTAATTGCATGTTCGTTTTCCTCTTCTGCGTGTCAGATCGGGTGTTTGGAGAAGAATCCAGGACCGAAGAGATCTACAAAGCGCGTACCAGGGATATCGTAACTGCAGCAATTGGTGGATTCAATGGTACTTGCTTGCTTGTGCTTTTTTTATTCTGAATTTTGTTTTGCTAAGTTTGGGGGTTTAGTTCTGAAGCTTTTCTGCAATTCTGCTAGTTGAATGATTGAATTAAGCTGACTCTAGACTTACCATTCTGGGTTACGGACGTCAATTCATGGGCGTCCCGTTTGCTGTTGCTTACTGTTGGCTGTTGTGCTAGGTACGGTGTTTGCTTATGGTCAAACTAACAGTGGGAAGACACATACAATGAGGGGATCTGCTACTGAACTTGGGGTCATCCCTCTAGCAGTCCACGATGTATTCGACATAATAAACGAGGTAGAATGGTTTCCGTGCAACCTCCATTTTCCTTTCCTTCCGAGGATTGTCTGTTCGAACTGTTTCAAAGCCAGAAGTCTGCAATTGTTCTTGTCTAATCTTATTTCCCGTTTGTTAGCATGTGGATCGAGAGTTTCTTTTGCGAATGTCATACATGGAGATATATAATGAGGACATAAATGACTTGCTCGCGCCTGAGCACAGGAAACTGCAAATTCATGAAAATCTTGAGGTACTGATATTTCTTATTACTTCACAGAGTCTTGCCTGGTACAATGCCAACCCTTTTTTTTTTTGCTTTCTTCTGTAGCGTGGGATCTATGTTGCTGGTTTGAGAGAAGAAATTGTTACTTCGCCGCAACAAGTCCTCGACCGCATGCAATTTGGAGAAGGTGATGATTGAATGTTTGGATGGTTATTTTGTGTACATTAGTTGTCATTGTGGCCTCTATAGATGGTTCCTCATATGTTATACTTCTATGTCAACTTTCAGCACATAGACATATTGGAGAAACAAATATGAACGTGTACAGCAGTAGGTCACACACTATTTTTCGCATGGTAAGTCTAGCAATCTTTTCCTGTTAATGTTCATAGTTTCTCATGTCGTGTGGCTTATAGATTTAGCACTTTGCAGATAATTGAGAGCCGGGATAGAACCGAGGATGAAGACAGGGGCAATGCTTGTGATGCTGTACGAGTATCGGTGCTGGTATGATAGATTTGCTCTTCCATTAATGTTCCATTGGCAACTACATACTATGTATGGAGTGTGAGTTTGGTGTTATATGCTGAATATCTCTCAGTGAAAGGACTCAAACTGCATTAAACATGAATAGCCTATTGATATTTTGTATACTTCTGAAGGGCATTGATAGGTTGCTAGTTATCAATGTACCTGTGTTAAAACTGCATTGGGAAAACGCGAAGGAGAACTAAGCCAAGGAGCCAAGAGTGAGGACCATATTAGTGAGCTTACTATCAGCTGGAACTGTAAAACCACTTATGATATCTATTAAGTGTAACCAGTGTTATTCGTTAGTTTCGGTAAATAACAACCGGATACAAAAGGATGAAATGCAGTACTGTTGGAGTTAATGGCATTTGAGGATTAAAAAGAGACCAATTGCAAACTGGTAGCTAATTTTGTTTTAATGTTTTTTTCATTCGTTGTCTAGAACTTGGTCGACCTTGCTGGTTCAGAACGTGCAGCAAAAACTGGAGCTGAAGGCGTTCGACTGAAAGAGGGTTCACATATCAATAAAAGCCTTATGACACTAGGAACTGTGATTAAAAAATTGAGTGAAGGTGCCGAAAGTCAAGGGTAAGCAGTAATCCCTTACACAAAAGTTTATCTTTGATTTTGGAGGGTACTAGACTTGTGTGGGTTTATTGACAATTTAACATTGTGGATGAAGGGGTCATGTTCCCTATCGAGACAGCAAACTCACACGGATTTTGCAACCAGCTCTAGGAGGCAATGCAAATACGGCAATAATATGCAACATCACACTGGCACAGGTATTTTAAAATTACTAAGATAAATTGAGACCATTCTTATCTTTTTTTGCCTTGGGAAATAAAGGCAAATATGTAGATTTATCTACTGTTTATAATCCAGAGAAGTTACAATTTGCGTTTGTTTGATTACAGATTCATGCTGATGAAACAAAGAGCAGTCTTCAGTTTGCCAGTAGAGCATTACGGGTCCAAAATTGTGCTTGTGTGAACGAGGTGCTGGTTCTGTTTTGGGTTTCACTTTATTTGCTCATATCTTTTGTCAGCTTCAGTTAAGTTTATGAATGAAATGTTGTTTCTCTCTGTGCACACCTCTCTCCATAGTGTTTCTCAATCCTGTTTCTCATTCAGGTCCTAACCGATGCTGCCTTGTTAAAGCGTCAAAAGAAAGAGATTGAGGAGCTTCGTGCCAAACTGCAGGTTTGGTCATTCATTGCTTGCAGCATTCTTTCTTTCTATGTCTGAACTTTTACCCTTCCAAAACTTGCTCCTTCATATGATTTTTAATTTTAGGGTTCTCACTCCGAGCATTTTGAAGAGGAGATTCTCAATCTTCGAAACACATTATTGAAGGTATCATTACCTACATCAGTATACTAGTTGTTTTGAAACGGTGTCCATGTTTTTGAGTTCTCAAAATGGTTATGCAGTCAGAATTGGAGAGGGAAAGAGTAACTCTTGAACTAGAGGAGGAAAAAAGAGTTCAGGCTGAGCGTGAAAAGCTTTTGCAAGAGCAAGCCAAGAGAATTGAAAACCTTTCGTCCATGGTGTTGTATTCCAGCCGAGATGATAACTGCAACCAGCTTAAGAAGGTTTGTTTATTTTAGCTATATGAACTGAAAGGGTGTTCGAATATACCATAACAAATTTCTGCTGTTGAAACATATTGTTCTTATTAATGCTGAACAATTTGTGATTTGGACTTTGGATTTTGGTTGAACTTGGAGTTGAGTGTTAGTCCAGATGATCTTTAGTCTGGGTGAAAAATACTTCCAAAGAGGACTGGTTAAGGACACTGACTCTTCTCCTGCTTTGATCGAGTTTCTGCCATTTCATTTTACTGTTTTAGTTTGCAATTTATGCTGTACTGTTATCTCTGATACAAGGCAGCAGTGGTTTTGCATTGTGGATTCAACGTGGCGGGGTCGTACTTTACTAGTATTATGCTCAACTCGTAGACTCTTCTTGCTTTGAGACAACCATTTTTTTTTTTTTTTTGCAATAAACATTACTTCTGTGTTTTTTTTTTTTTGCTTTTGCAGGGAAAACGACGGGATACATGGTGTCCAAGTAATTTTTCAAGAGCAATACTCCAAGAGGTACTGTTTATGATAGAGTTATTGTAAGAGTCCATGTTGTCTGTTTCATGCCTGCACTGTATCTAACTTGTGCGACAAGTGCATACATTCAAATTCAGCACAGCTAAGAGAAGTAATGTTGACTCATGTTATGTTGTGGAAATCACATTTGCTTTTAGGTGGATGCAAATGCCCAGTCAAGGCTATCTAGTGTCGAGCCCATGCCAGTTCGACGTAATGAGGGACCACTTGTTTCTTTCGAAGAATTGGTAAGTGATCAGAAAGGAGCTGATGACCTCTGTCCGCAACAGGAAGTAGCTAAAGATAATGCAGTAGAGGACTGCACTCCACCTGATCCATGTTCTCTACTGCATGTTACCAATAGGAGGAAGGTGCTTCCAAGAAAGAAAGCCTCTGCTTCAGTAAGTCGCGTCGTCCCTTTCTCAACTGCACTCAGCAGTCAGCATCATGGCATGTGAAATCTGATGACCACAACAATTGTTCATCTTTCAGGAGGACCATGAGTTGAGAGCAGTTCAAGCAGAATATGAAGAGTTGCTAGTGGAATCGGAAACTCAGGTTGCTAACTTGCATCTTCTTCAATTAAGATCTTAATAAATTGTTCTTGTTGTATAATGTGTTATATTAATATCTCTATCTCTCTATTCAGAGAACTGTGAGCGACGTTATGATAGATTCCTTGAGAAGACAGCTGGTTAACAGTGATAATTCTCACGTTAGGAACCAATGTGACCTCTCCTTTTCTCATGGCACCGAGACTATGAATTGTAAGGACAAAAGTATAAGTATAAGGGAGTCAGAGGCCATTGTTGTGATCAAACAGCTTCAAGAAAAGGTCCTTTCCCTTTTAGTCATTTTCAACGGATTTTCCTTATGTTGATAAGTTCTCTTGCGTGATTTTTATCCACCCTTAGTCTGTTATCACTCTGTGTTGTACATTCTATTGATTCCTACGTGCTCTTGAACATGAAGATTGAGATGTTAGAGATGGATAAAGATTCAAGTCAACAGAATCTAGACAGTGTTGTCGAGCTGGCAACGGAGCAAAGTCTATATGCAAGGGAGAAGTTTGAAGAGGTAATCATGGTATTTATAGCTTTTAGCTGAAGCATTGTGCTTTGTAGATTCAAATCAGGTGGAATTTGTGTGTTTTGTTAGTTTATCTTCGTTTAAGGCAATTTCATTTGCCAATGAAGAGATAGCCCACTATAATGCTAGAAAGTTTGTTTCTCTTCTCGATAGGCTGTTAAATGGTGGATGATGTTGACTCTTCTCTTTTATCTGCTCCAACCAAAGATAGTATACTGATTTGTGATGTCATGTGGTATTTTTAATTATTTGCTAGCTCTGTCAAGAGCTTGAAAAGGCAAGGGAGGAAGCTAAGGTTGCTCGTGAACAACTTGAATCTGCTGGACATGTAGGAGAGATTAATGTATGGATCCCTTCTCATTTGTGTTGTTTCTTTTCTTTCATGTGATCTTTACATTTTCTTGCTTTGCATTCTTGTTACTTCAGTGTCAAGTATCTGATCAGCCCCTTTCGTTCGCATATGGATATGAACTTTCAGAAACAGCTTCAGGTGGAGATTGAAGAAATAGTCAGGGAAGTTCAGGAAGCAAAAGACACTGTCCAGAGTACATTTTCTCTTTTGGACGAGGCGTTGCAGAGTTTCTCAATGGAATCCGATATGTTCCATGTAAGAAGTCTGGTGCTACGCTCCAATTGCTCTCGTATTTGTGGAACACACTAGTCCTTAAGAAGAATGTTTGCTGCATTGGACTATTGTCGTGTTTGACTTTCAACTGCTGCTTGTGATTGGGGCAATTGTTGTACATTGGATCCCTGTCAAGCTTGATTTATGCCTTTCAATGCAGGAGTTGAGGAATTCAGTGCTCGAGAACAATGAAAAACAAAAGTTGGTCATCAGTAATCATGCTGAATTATGTGGCAGCATCAGACATAAGCTCACTGTAGTTGAAAAGGAGAAGGTACTACTCCTTTATGCATATTATACAGATAAATAATGAGTTAACCTTAGTTGATAATAATGTCTAGGCTGTTTCACTTGCAGCTTCTTTTGTCAAATAAATGTTCTGATCTTGAAAGACGTTTACAAGAAATGATGCAGGATGCTCAAAACCATGAAGATGCCTTGACCGTAAGCAGTTGTGTTAGAATCGTATTGTTTGTTTTTTATGCTATATAACTACTGCCTCCTTATCGATATCTCCTGGTTGCTATAGAAAATTTCTGAAGAAGCGAACATTGAAAAGGAAGAATATAGGTCATATATTCAGATCCTTGAAAAGGAAATACATCAGTTATCATCTTGTGCTTTGGCAAAAGAGAAGGAGAGTTTGAGAAAGGATCTAGAGAAGGCAAGAACGAAACTGAAAGAAACTGAGTCAAAATTCAAGAATGTGATTCAGGAAAAAACTAAACTGGAGGTATTTTACTCTTGAACATAAATTCTCTACCTGGTGTTCCATTGAGATGAATGATTACAGATTGTTGCATGTCTCACGCTGTCAGGGAGAGAAAAAGCTTGCTGAGAAAGAGGTCAAACGATTGCATGGACAAAAGAGTCTTCTTGAGCGTGACATTAGCAAGCGTGATTCATTTGCTGATAGAAGGCGGGATTCAGTTTTCGATAGGAGCTCAAAGACTTGTGATACAAGAAAACAGGCAATGGAGGTAATGGCAAGGGGGCGTCTATTTCATAAGGTTCAATGTAACTAAATATATTTCTTATGAATGTTTGAAAATGATCCGGCTATCAATCCTTTGCAGCATGCGTGCTTGGATTTTGGAAATTATCCAATTATGACTGCTCTGATTCTATTATGATATGCAATCTTGGGCTTTGTCTACCACGGTTGATAATTTATTTGTCTGTATCTTTGGGTTTATCATATGATGTTGACATCCATTTGTTTTATTCTTTACTGCTCACATTAAGCTAAAGAAGGGTTTTCTTCTCCGTGCTCTACCCAGAGGCGTGCCGATTTTTCCTTTGTTCTTTTTCTCCTGGACAACTCATTGCTTGGTTTTCCTGTTGTTTAGGATGACTACAGAAAACTTGAAGTTCTTGCATTTGAGATGGAGGCAACCATTGCTTCTCTAGAGGAGGAACTTGCAGAAGTACGAAAAGAGAAAGAGGAGGCAACACAGAGAAGTGAAGGTTTGGCATCAGACCTGGAATCTCTAACTGAAAAGTTGTCTGCATCTGATGCTGAACTGTGGGCGTTGCAGCAAGAGATTTTCGAGCTCGTAAGCCTACTTTGTTCGTGATAGTATATAGCTGTTCAAGTTGAGCACACACTGAAATCTCTCTGTGTCTCGAACTTCTAGAGAATGAAGTTGGAAGCATGTACCTCTGAACGGCAAGAAACACAAAGCACCATCGAGGTCTTGATAAAAGAAAAGGAGGAATTGGCAATGGTACTGATATGTGGATATCAAGATGATGTGTGATCGAAGACTACACTGTATTACCCCTCGTGCCTTACCTCATATGATGCATGTCTCTCATTTTGCAGCAATTCAGTGATTCCCTTCTGGAAATGGAGGAAGAGAAGGCAATTTGGTTGTCTAAGGAGAAAGCTTCACTACAAGCCATCGAAGAGACAGGGAAGTTGCATAATGAGGAAATCTCAGCATTGTACAAAACGTTGTCAGAAGTAAGCTACTGAGTTCCACTTAGGAGCTTCCAATAGTTGATTGCTTGCCTCTGAAGTTTTTTTTTTCCCACTTCTTCCTATCTGCGATGAAATGGATGCATTTATAATGAGAACAGGTACAGGATGAACTGGATTCCTGCCGAGAAGAATGCAAAGTACTCAAGGAAACACTTCTGAGGGAGGAAAATCGCCAATTGGATAAGTGCAGGTCTTTTTTAAGCTCCACGAGTAAAAGGCTCATATCTACTAGTTGCATTGTTTGTCTTCTGCATATGCTTAATATTCTGATGTCGAAACTCTTTCACTTTTTCTTGCCTCAGTAATAATGCGTCTCAAGATAATGAAAGTGAAAGCGAGAGACACGGAATGGTATCTAAGATCAATTTGGTCTATTTTTCAGTTTGCTACTTTCTGCCTTTACTCTCTGATCAATTTGTACTGTACTTGTTTCATGTGTAGCTTCTGATTGAGCAGTCCGACCCAAGTGTTCCTAACGACGAAAAGAATCCAACGACTGCAGTCAGAGATATTGATGCTGATAAAAAACAGCTAATCGGAGAACTTGAGGTTCATTCACAAGTTCCATAATCTCACGTCAATATAATTCAAATATTACTCTCTCTAAATCATTACCACGAGTCATGTTTGATCGTACTATCATTCATTCACGTGATAGAATCTAAAAAACCAGCTAGATGTTGTTATGAAAGAGAAGGAGATGCTGATGGCTCAAATGCAAGACTACCATAAAAAGACAGCCGAAGCAGAATTCGTGAAACAACATTATGACGACATGGTAACAATATATTTCCAATCTCATATACTCTAAAAGACCACTTAGTATTGTTATTTCCAATCTCATATACTCTAATACCACTTAGTAAACCATGATGATTGGAAATCAATAATAATGGTTATCTCATTTGAGAGTTGCAATGTGCACAGTTGAAAGTCGCGAGAGCTCAAATCGACCAACTCGGTGGAAGCATAGCTAGCTTGGAAGCCAAGATGCAGACTGTAAGTAGTCCCTCTCTACAGTACAAGCCACCGTTCGAAGAGGAAACTTGGGGTGCAAGAAAAGCACTAAAATCCTGACTAAACCATCGTTTCTTCTGTGATTGGTCCACTCTGGCAGGATTACGTTGCGAACTGCAACGAGAAGGCGAAATTGAAGATGATGGTGAGGGGAACCCAAGCGAAATCGGAAGCATTGGGTTTCAGGCTTGGACAATCAGTCAGGGAGAATGATGTAATGCACAAGAAATTCAAGGAGGCTTCCAAGGAGCTTAAAGAGAAGCTGGCAACTTGCGGAATGGAAAATCTTAACCTCAAGAAGCAGCTTGCTTCTTCGTCAATCAACTGACCAAATGCTTAGCTGCTGGAAGCTCGCCTTGTTTTTTGAGAATAGGTAACTACACTTTCCCTAGTTTATTGGTCCCGATCTTTTGCTTATCTGCTAATTGTTTTGCTTATCGGGTAACTTATTCAACCTATGAATACTTAAAGTTGCTATCTCGATTCTCGAGTATCTTAGGTTACAAGTAGTGGTCTGATCGGGAGAGAAGGAATGTTAATGGCGGTGTGGGGCGTGATATGTTTCTTGATATCCATGTTTGTTTCGTGTTAAGCTTACAGATTTTCGAGTGAATACGAGACAGAGTTGGGGCTGGTCGTCCCATTCTGATGTGAGGATGTGCTAACAAATTTGATTGTTATGACTAGGGGTGGAAATCGGTACTCTATCGGTATCCCAATACCAAATACCGAATACCGAATTACACCCTAAAATCAATCCCAATCCCAATCCCTAAATAATTTCGGTATCCCAATCCCAATCCCTAAATTATTTCGGTATCCCAATCGGTACCTCGGTATCCCAATCGGTATTATCGAATACATAATTAATTACCTTTGCAATTAATAATTAAATATATAAACTAGATTTTATTGTTTAATTTAGGGCATAGAGACTAAGCAAATAGTCTTGAGTTGCCTAGAGCTAACATCTCAAGTTCTTGTAATTGATAATCTTTAATTTGACGAATTTGAGGTTGAGAGACGACTAATATTAGTGTGAAATAGTAATGTAATGATCTATTTATAATTAAATGACACTTTTGGTGGTTGAGGGTCGCGTAGTAGTGAATGAGAGAGTCTAGTTGAGAGGATAAAATACACACTAACTTATATTTCGGTATTGATCGGTATTTCGGTATATACCGATCCCAATCCCGTAATCCCTAATACCGAATAACAATTGAAATTCAATCCCAATCTCAATCCCACAAAATAATACGTGTATTCGGTAATACCAAATATAGACAAATTTGGTACGGTATTCGGTATATCCCAAATACCGGTACCAAACTTCCGGCCCTACTTATGACCAGAACCAAATTGGTACGAATCGAACACCTTCACACATAAGAAGATGCTCTGATCTAACGGCACTTAACAGATTGATGAAACCTATTACCCAAGTGTTGGGTTCAAGACCTGACACTTCAATAAATGTAGCTTACTTTTCAGAAAAGCCCAAATAGAAAAAAAGCAGGTCAGTAAATCTAATGAGTAGGCCTGGGTCAGTCCAGGTAGGTAGGGCCTCATGCCAGACCGACAAAGCCCATCTGCCCATGCTCCCTCCTCCTGGTGCACAAACGTCTATAAAACAGTACTCTCATTTTTCTCAAAGCAAGAGAGTGCACCACTGGCCACACTAACTTTCAAAACTGAAACAGAAATCTTGTGGAACCTACAACAACAACAGAACAAGAATGAAAAGACTATAATTGAATCTATAGCGAATATATCATTGAATAGTTTTTTAATTACAAACTCAAGATAAATCGATTTGTTGGAGATGCTATTTTGAAAGTTATTCATCATATATTTTTTCGATTTGTGACCATATTCAAAACCGGAGAATATGGCCAAAATATGTAATGGATAGCCTTCGAAATCTATGAAAATAGCATTCCCTAAAAATCGTTAGAATCTGTGATGAATAGCCAAAATATGTGAAAAAGCATTTTCAAAAATCCGTCAAAATCTGTGATGGATAACCTTCAAAATATGTGAAAAATAATATTCCGAAAATTTAGCAAAAATCTGTGATAGATAACCTTAGAAAGTAGTGAATCATAACATTCCAATTTTTTTGTCAAAATCTGTGATGGATAACTTTCAAAATTGGTGAAAAATAACATTTAAAAACCCAATCAAAAGTAGTGAATGATATATTCTAAAATTATGAATAAATAAGAATCGACCAAAATCTGTGACGGAACAAGGACTAATATGACACATTACGAGTTCACAAGACGAAAAAACCAACTACAAAACAAGGCATCGACTCAAATCTAGCCTAACAAAAGTGACAGTGGAGTGAGTGGCTCATTATATTGTAGATGCCATCATTATTGCTAAACATAAAAAAAAAAAAAAAACAAACAAACAACAAGAAGAAGATTGTTGCTATGATTAAACTATGAAAACAACATCAACTTTTTAATATTTTTTTCCAGCCTTGTTTCAACCATCCAAGAAAGAAAGCAAAGGTTAGTTAAAAGAGACAGCCCCATACCATAAAGCTGGAACAAATACAATGCCTCCAGATGAAAGAGAAGAAATGAATGGACTAACTTGGCGCATGCCAACAACCTCCTGTCTAATTCCTCCCCTAGTAGCCATGGCAGCAGCAGCTTGGGAATTTGCTCCCCATCCATTCCCCCAACTCTCTCTCTCTCTCTCTCTCTCTCTCTCTCTCTCTAACCTGTGATTCATAAAACAGTTGTACAGTACAGTACAAGCAAGCCCTTCTAACCTCATTGTTCCACTTGCAGCAGCTGCTCCTAAAACAAACCTTTTCTTTCCCACCCCCCTTAAAATAACAATGTTTATGGCCACACCACAAAGCATATGCATGCTTTGCTTCCTACTTTATGAAGAAACCAAACAAAAGACAACTCAGCTTCTTCATCTGATCTATCAATATAAATATATAAGGATATGTTCTTTCTCTACTTACCAGAATGGCAGAGCAAGAGAGAGGGAGAGAGATGGATGGATGGATGGATTCACTAAACAAATCCATTCTTTTGTGCCTGCCTGGTTGCTTTTTCCTCTTCTCCATCATCATGATTATGATCATCAATAATAAAGGATTTCTTCCTGTCCAGTGTGTTCCCCTGACACAAAACAAGATTCCAGCACCCATCTGCATCCCATTTGTAACTCACCCCATTAGAATATTCTATTAGCAACAATTATATCCTCAAAACTTGAGATTTAGAATAGATTAGAGATTAGATAGATAGATAAGGAGAGGATTTCACATGATATCCTACAATGGTGGAGGAGAGATGGTATGTACAACTGGAAGTACGTTACAAGGAACATGTTGATCTGTCCGATTGCCAACATTGATGCTGTGATGCAGCTTCTTCTCCCCCACCCTTTAGATAGATAGATACACAACAAGTAATATTTGTTGTGTAATTGTCTAAACCGTCCAGATCAACATGAAAGTTGACATTCATTATGGAGATACAATCAGATCAGATATGGAATCCATCAACATATGTTATGATTTAGGAGTCTGCAAAGTATATTTAATAAGCAAACAGGGTGTTAAAGTTTCCCTTAGGAATCTAAACAGATCACAACCACTAAATCAACCAGGACAGAGAAAGTGACGCCATGTCAAACACAGGACACCAGCTTGAAAAGAGATTGAAGCTGCAGAAGTACACAGATATATGGGGTACAAAAATATGTACCTGTACTGAAGAAAGAAATTGGTGCAGAAGTTTGGGGTACAAAAATATCAAGTACCTGTACTGAAGAAAGGAATTGGTGCAGAAGTAAAAGAAGTAATTACTACTAAGTGTTCCCCATATCTAGTTTGTCAGATATAAGTTTGTTTCTGAATTCAAACTGCACTTACCAGATGCAATGCGACTCGCCAGATTCATCAACTAACGTACGAGCAGGGTCTCGCGTGTTGTCAGAGTTGTTAGAGATGCTGAAGGTGATAAACCCAGAATTACATGAAGGCTATAGAGTTGTGGGGAAAATGAACATCTTGCTTATACAATAAGAACCTATCTAATATTCAACAATGCAATGCGATAGAGTTCAGCTGCTTCAACATGCAAGGAGCATAAAGATCACCTTTAACATTCTAACATATCAGAATTGTGAGAAAGAAAACCCCAATCTCAAGTGGGGTAATCTATGAAGTTCCACAATGTACAATAGCTACAAGTCACCTCTACATTACACTGAACTAATAAACGAAGAGGGTAGCTAACCAGCAAACTTCACATTTAGAACTCTCTCTACATGACATAGATTGCAATTATGGAAGAAAAATCTATCCTTGTCTGCAAGCCCCAGGTACAGAAAATTCCTCTCTTCTGCCCATTCCACATTGGAAATTGAGAACAAGACTCTTATGATGTAATAAGAAGACCAAGCAAGCCTTTGAATGTACTATACCGCGCTCTACTGAATCCCAAGTGGACCTCTTTATAGCAAGACTGATGACAAGGGTTGTTGCCAGTTGCCACAGAAAAGCTTAGAATGTTCGTCCTGTCGAAATGTTTTCAGAATGTGACATGGGGTGGACTTATAGACTGCTGTCCACAACCTTAGATGGAACCAGCAGATATCTGTAGGCAGCCTGGTTCAAAGGATTGCCACTGGAAAAGGCTAATAATAATCACTATCAACCACCAAATCTGCAACTGATGAGCTACTGATCCCCTTGGTAGTGATTGAAGAACTCAGTCATCGATCTTGGCCGATTTTCCACAATGGAGAACAGAACAAAACCACCATGGACGAACCTAAAATTAGAATGTAAGAAGCGGTTACCAGTAATTACCAATTAACGGAAGACTGATGAACAGGGGAAACATGGAACCCCATCAGTAGATCCCAATTTCAATCATCTCCAGTAGGGAACAGAGTGAGAACTTTCCTTCCAGCATTTCCATTTGCCGACTCCAAATCCTCCACATACCCTGGAACCGGCGCATTGTGCACCGGCGGTCCCATTCTATGCACAGCTTGCTGCTGCGCCGCCGGCCTAGCAAGAAAGGGATGATCGAATTGCCCATTGGGAGGCGACCCGAAATGCCCCATCTGCCTATGGTACTGACCCTGCAACTGCGGATGAGCTACGGCCGCTGCGGCAGCCACCGCCATCTGCTGCTGGTGATGGTGATGCTGAAGAGCGCTGACGGGAACAAACGGCAGGAAATGATCGGAATTAGGCGGCCTACCGGGATGCAAGAAATGCGCCGGCACAGGGGAACTCGCGAACAAATGGTCGGTAGCCGCATCGACACCAACGGTAGACGAACCACCACTCAATCCCCCGCCACCGCCACCACCGCCGCCGCCGCCGGACGACAGCCCCTGCATCCGCTTGAGGTAGAGCCGGTACTTCTGCAAATGACTGGCGACATTCTCCCTAGTCAACCCGTCCACACTCATGAGCTGCATTATCGTCTTGGGCACCGCGTTCTTGATCCCCAGGTGCGCGACGGCGTCCACGAACCTCTTGTGCAGCTGCGGCGTCCACACCAGCCTCGGCCGCTTCAGCGTCCGCGCCGGCTCGTCGCCCCCGGTGCCGGACCCCAGCTCCGCCGACGAGTCGGCGGCGAACTCGGACGAGTTGTGCTGCGAAGTCGCCAGAGAAGGATTCCCGTTGTTGTGGTTGGGAGAAGGCAAGCCGCTGGACGTCGGTAAAGGAGGCGGCGGCGGGGGGACCGGCTGATTCTGGTGGAGCGAATTGCTGGCCGCTGCCACCGCCGCAGCAGCGGCGGAGGAGTTGGTGGAATTCCGGATGTCGAAGGCGAGGGCGAGATCGGGAGTGATTAGGGTTTGAGTGATTGGCATGAGCTCGTCAGGGGAAGGAAGCTCCTCTTCCCATCGAGCGAACCAATTGGAGTCGTCTTCCCTCATAGCTCGTGGCTCCCGCTAATTTAGCTCAGCTCTTCCTTCCTTTCTTCAGTCGAATCTTCGGCCGCTCTTTCTCTCGTCTCCCTCTCTCTGTGACTGCAGAGTATGGCGGAGGAGGAGGAGAATTGGGATTGGGACGGCGGAGGGGAAGGGAGTGAAGAGGAGGAGGAGGAGAGATGTTCGAATCGAGGTGGATCTTGTTTGTTTTGGCTTTCTTCCTATTTCAGCTTTTTTATTTTTAGAGAGTACTCTGTTGGCTGATGCTTTTTTTTAAAATTTCATCATTTCCTTTCTTTTTGCCCAGATTTTGGCTTTCATTGTTAAATGATTTCCACCCTATCAACATGGTTGGAGAGAGATAAAATAGGTAAGTAGGTGAGGATTTCAATTTTGGGTCAGTCTCGTGCGCGCGTAGTATGATCCGACCTCATAGTATTTGTAGTCATGTGTATTTGTTTTGCGAGTATGAAGAGATAGTGAGTGTGGATTTCATATTCGCGACACATTGATAATGTTGATTTTATTCGTATATTATGGATATGATCTGTTCTGATTTGTTTTGCACGAGGTTTATTCGTTTTGCAAGCATCAAGAGGCGGTAAATGTGGCTGTTATTTCCTCTCGCTTTGCCTTATCCTCGCCCTATTCTCAACCCTTGTCTGTCTCAATTTTGATCTCGCCGGCTGTTACGTATGATCTGTTATAGTTTCCTTTTTGTACGAAAGAGTTCTATATTTTTCCCGCGGGCATCAAGCGTGAGTCTCATTTTCTGATGTCGCGCCCATTTTCCATCCCTTGTTTGATCTCGATTTATTGTTACACTTATTTTCCACGTATTGCAACTCCTACTACATACCGAGAGCATTCAAGTTTCATTAGTCATACAAAAAATTGTTATTAATTTAATTTTAATTTCGCATGAAATAGTTGTAAGTATTGAGATATTCACCCCGATCCACAGAGCTCCTCGTTGTCGTCATTCAATTGACAATTGTTAGATTTTCACAATCAAATTCCAACAAATTCTCATAAATTTGGTGTTAATAAATGTGGAATTTAATATCCGGGATATGGGAGGAGAGATGTGGGTGGTGGGGCGGGTCGGGTCGCATCATCGCAATCGGATATCCTCAATCGCTTCGATTGTTTCATTCATTCTCTCATCTCTTTCGAGTTTCATATAATCAGATCATGCTTATTATTATTTATTTAATAATTGAACTAGCATTGTGCCCGGCCGTTGGCCGAGATTGATATTGCCGGGATTGTTGAATTGCCACGTTGTTCCTGTCGCACTGAAATTCCTCTTATTGTACTCTTCTTTTATAAAACTCAACTTCAATTCCTTAACTAATAAACATAATTTCTAATAGATGATTTGGATATGGAAGGGTTTTTTTTTTTTTTTTTCATTTAGACCATCTAATTATAGAGCAAATTGTGTATTTTTGGAATACATAACATTATAAACTCACTCATCTATGTGGATTAGAAAATCAGATAAATGTCCGTACGCTTTCTTTTGTGGGTGTTCTTCAATTACCCTTACCATCTTTCCTTTCATGTCATCTCCAATTAATACAATGAATTCGTCTTTAGTTCTCTTGAAAAAAACCTTTAAAAAAAACCTCCCACCAATTATTTCAAATATATATTATGTGAAGGTTTGATTAGCTAAAAGGTGAAGCCATTTTATCAACCAATGTAGATGAAACCATAAACCTTCTCTAGGTGGCGAAGGAAGAGCAAGATTCATCATTGAGGCCGAATACAGAATTTAGCAAAGGCAAACAACTTAGTGACCAGAAAATCAATACAGTATGGGTAATCGTTCATGATTTTTCCCTGGATTTGGTAGAGGAAGGGCTCACGGACATTATGAGAAATCATTGATAAAAGCCTGGATGTGATGATAATATTGTCCTGTCCACCATGTAGGAATGAAGAAATGAAGACGGTGAACTTTGAATAGCATATTGTGCATCCCTGCGTATCAAGAAATGAAGAAATAATGCAGAGATCAATTGAAGAAGTGCATAATGGGACATTAAGATTTGGACGTTGTTTTATTGGTCAATTTTCCGAAAGAGGAAATCATGAGGATTGAAGGGAACACGTTACAATAAACAAAAGTACCCAGCATCGACGGAATTGAAAGCATCACAACTACACTCGGAGTGAAGAAGTTTCTCATGGCTGATGCATGATGGCGTGTTGGCGGAAGGTTGGAAACTGCAGCGGTCGCAATCTCTGAGCAATTGCAGCGGCGGAGTTTACAGCAACACCTATGAACGCAAAATTGACATTGATTATGGGGAAATCGAGTGGCCGTAAACTGTATGTTGTCCAAGGAGAGGCATCGTAAGAGTTCTTGGTGAAAGCAGGGGAAAATCGACTGCGAGAAGTTGCGGAAAGAGAAAAGCCCAGGTGTCATAGCGAAGTCGAATCGATGTGGCAAATGGTAATCGGAAGGGAAGGGTCCAACAATGAAACTAAGGCTGTCCAATGGGGGTAGAGTCAGAGTCAGAGAGAGTGCGAGAAATAGGATATTAGGGGGCTGATAAGGAGAACTTGAGGAGTCGTTTTTTCCAGGGAGACTCAGCGGAAGATGAAAGACAGAAGTTGCAGCCTGTAGGAAGCGATTCGCAAGAAAGAAATAAAATAACTAAAATAAAAGGCAGTTTTCCGAAACTCACGGAGAAGCCTCCAAGGCTGACGTGGATGAGGTCTAATTCTAAAACCTCTTTAATATATTTTAAGATGAAAATGTGCCTCTTTGTTGTTAGATTCCTAACAGATTTCTATTCCCACGCCCTCCGCCGTCGAATGCTCCTAACGCGCCGCTCATTATTAGGTCTTCTCCGCCGCCGCCATTAGAATTCTCCTCCTTTTTCTTGTCTCGTCGTCCTTTTCAGTTGGCCTTTAGATAGGAGATATGAGACTGCTTTGTAAGAAAAAGGGTATTTTCTTGTAAAGAAGATAAAGGTTATTCATTCAATCTAAACTTGTGAGTAAATAATCTAGTTGGTAGAGTCTTTGTGTCGTGAAATAAAGACCGAGAAATTTATTATGTTATAATATTTCGTCATTATAAACAAGCGGTTATTACAAAAGTGTGATCGATCTAGATTTTTATTGATAAGAACGGAAAAGAAGATAAATTAGGCAAATACTCTAATCGAAAAAGTACGCCATTGATTGTAAAAAAAAACTGCGACCCTGAATGAATGACGAACTTTGGAGGCATTCTTTTTCACAAGGTTGTAGGCATCCTTTGATTTCTCCCATCAAACTTGAGCTTCATATCTTTGATTTCTTGCCCTGCTCCAATTTCTTGGAGTGACAGAAAACGAGTCTCACTAGAGGGTATCACCCTGCACCCATTTCCTTCTCGAAATCGAGGGTGTCAGAAAATGAGCTCAGAGATAGATACACCCAGCGCTAGAACTTGCAACAAACTAATAACATTAACAACGTCAAACTTGAGCATCATATCTTGCCCTTCTCCGTTTCTTGGAGCGACAAATCTATTAATATGCGGCATAAGATCCATTATCGAACATCTCTCAACAACTCAAGTTATTGCATTGCAACCCGGTGGTTCCTGACAAATCCCAACCCAACAACACACTCAACAATCACTAGCAACAAGTGATTGGATTCAATCACAGTATCATATCGTGCTCTTGCTCCTTGCTTTACTGATATTGGAGCTTTGCGGTTTGTTCCATCGTTGGTGCCAACACAAAATGGCATGTTGGGGGACGAGAAAATCTGAGATGCTCCAATCCAAACAACGAACAACGACCCAACAAAACCAGGTGGCCATGCAGTGTAAGGTCCTACTGGCTGGTAGGGGCAAAACCATAAATTCACTCTGTTTCTCTTCTTGTTTCTGAAAACTCGAAGCTTGATTGTATGTGCTCCTTGTGTGGTTGTGCTACAGTTTTAGGAATGATTGAAACAGACAAATAAAAAGGTTTTTGGAAACAAGATACTGAATTCCACATGTGTGGCTTCGTTTTCTTGTACTCTGTTCTTAGACAAGGATGTCTTTATCCAATTTGGTTCCATCGACCCTTGATTTCCAGTCAGTTTTCATCCACCTGCAGACAGGAATCTCATATTTGCCTCAACTAGTTTCCCTCTTTTTTCATTTACTAATGAAGAAACTACAATTACATGCCAAAAGAAGTAGGAAAGAGCTTATGAGATCACATGTCTTCTCTCTATTTGTGATCGACCGTTACCTAAATCTTACTGGGTATTTTTCGGATTAGTTTTCGATTTGGGTTTGAAAATGTCGTATTTGGATCCACTCTACAAACTACATCATATATGCTCTTGGTATGACCTATTTTAGATTGACTTTTGCCCCCGACCCCATTGGTCGTAAATGAAGCTGATTGAGATGTTAGACATCAGGTTTATGGTAATTCTCATACGAATTGGATCCAGATTCTTGTTATATCATCACGCCTCATTTTTATATATGATAGATGATAACAAAAAAATAAAAAATGAACGACAGCCAATAGATAATCACCTTTAAATTACATTATTATTATCATCGTGTTTTCATTGAACTGCGAAGACGTCAGTCTCCCTCTTCGGTATGTACTTGTCCCTTTTCTATATATGCTCTTGTCAATTTCCTTCAAATTTTTGCCATTATTAAAAAAAAAAAAATCCTTCAAATTTCTAATTTATTTTTATAAGGAAAAGTCTAGATTGGGTGGTGGTGCGTGGGTGGTACGCGCTTCCTGTCCAAGAAAAATGAAAAGTGATGATTGGTGACATAAACATGGGAGATAGAGGAGATCAGCAAGATTGAGGATCAGAAAGAAAATGATATCAGCCGGGATTAACTTAATTAATCATATATTAAACTGAATTAACCATTATATATTACAAGGAAGAAGTGACTTGTTTAATTCTTTTTTTTCTCTCCACTATTTCGATTTGGGGTTCTCGATTGGCTTGTGGGTTCTTCTTTTATATTATATTATTATTGCCTAGAAATTGAGATACACATCAAGAAAGTGGAGGAAGTAGCTTGTCGTTGATATGGGTAAAAAGTTAGATTCCCCCAAATAACTCCAAAACTTTGGTCCCTAAAAAAGGAGAAAGAAAAGAAGGATAGGAGTCATTTTAACCCTGACTTCATCTAGGCAATAATGGATGTCTTTGAGAGAGAGCCCCACGGTTTCAATTCTTGTCCAAAAGCTTCCTAACCTAGAGGCCCTACATTTGATTTTGATCTCCATCCAAGGTTAGGTGTAGAGTGGAGTGGAGGAAATAAAAATGGCATACAAATGTTTAAAAAAAAAATGGTTTGTGGAGGTGAAAATGTTACTAAAATGTACTAAAGTGTACTAGTAGTTTGATCCTATCTACTAACACGGAACAATACAGAAACATTATGTCGGAGTTGGAAAGAATTGGGACAGAAAAGAAAATAAACGCAGGACATCAAACCCTCAAGACAAGGTATTCATAATATGAAATTATGTTGTGATAGGGAGATTGGTCGTGAGATAACTAGATTTTTCTGACTCGGAAGATTGCAGTTTGAACCAAGGTGACCTGTTATAGTACTCCGCTCTCGATAATAATCTCTAGGTGGGAAAATATGCAGATTTAGAAAAGGGTTAGCTTTTCCGAGTGTGCGATGCAAATGTTATTGTGGTACTATCCTTAGCTAGTTCAACATGCAAATGGGAGTTTTTGAAAGTACATATTATTGGGTCGTACCTTCTTAATTCATGACCAATTTGATCCACAAGGTAACAATTTCCTAAGTCATTATTAGAACGCGGAGCCAACTACCATAAATCACAAAGTCAACGAATCAACGGCATAAGTACGTACTTACGATTTACGAAATCGATGTAAGCACGGTAAATCGGATATGCTCCGCCAGTAAGGATTATGTAGCACCCCATGATGCGGTCCGGTTCTTAACGTCAACAAAAACGGCACAAGATGCAACAACCAACGATATGGACGGAAAACGATAAACCAGTAGTCACTCACATGATCCCGTTTAAGCAGAAAGAACAAAAGCCTATAAAGTAGCAGGCTCACTAGATCCATACAAAAGGCCCAAATTTAGTTTTGCTCTTTTAACATCTAGTGAGAAAGCCGTTTTCTTTTATGCTATTTCGGGGACCCATTTTAGATTAGTCCACCAACAGCTAATTGGACATCTTGTCAAAAAAACAGCTAATTGGACACCTAAATAAGTAAATATAAACAAGTCCGAGAAAGAAACGAAGGGAACAGGATATGCCCTTTGCCAGACTGGCACCATTGCCTAAACCAGAAGACAGCAAACTCAGAAACTCAAATCATTCAATCAAGATCATCATTTACCAAATCAAGTAGACACATAACCAAAACACAAGCACACCACAATCAACAACAGTCTCTAATCACTGTTTATAAACCCCAAAAAACGTAGAGATTGAACCGATGGCACTAACGATTATCAACGTAATAAAACCATGACACCATTTCAATAAAACACAAACCTGCGACTAGTAACAAAAACAGAGGTACGAGATGCGGAAACATAGAGTTGACACAAACACAATTACAATCCTTTTACTACAATTTTCAAGTCATCAGAGTAGGAACGAAGAGAGAAAAGTACGATAGGGGGGGTTCGCAACCGAGCAACTCGATTGCGGCAGTTCTTTTTACTAAACAGAGAAGTTCTGGACGAGTACATATTACTAATTGGTAATACAATTACAAACCTAAGCTCTGCTGCCATTTCAATGGTTTTGACTGTAATCGAACGTCAGTGGCTGCTGACAGAATGGCGGCTGCAGAAAACAGAAGTGCGATGTTAAACTAGACGGAAAGAACATACATGAGAAACAAACACACACAAAATAAACGAACTACAGACACACCTGGAAAACTGCATGCCTAAACTGGTCGTAGGAGTGAGCATACATCATAGATGCATTGGGCCATTGAACATATGCTGCTGCATCTGGTGCCATTTGGTTCGCCCCGACAGCACAGTAGGGGTTCAAAACTGGGTTTGCAGCCGGATGTCTGTACGCAAGCGAACCTTGATTCCTCACCATTGGAACCGATTGGGGAAAACCGGTCTCGTACTGAATGTAGGGCATTTGAACCTTCTGCATGTTGAATGGCAACATGTTGAAGCACTGGTTGTTAAGTGTACCTCTGACATACCTGGCATCCATTGAAACAGAAAGCAACTTCGTTATTAAATTGCATATATTCAAGGTCATGAAAGAAACATAATGCAGGTGGAAATAATCTGATGTACCTCTCGTAACTGCGGTCATAATCTGGGTCAAAACGATCCTTCTCCCTGTCTCTAAAAATGGCTACCCGAGATGAAGAACCATCTCTGATGTTGATAGGATCAACTGGAGGGTTCCTCCAACCCTCAGACTCATCCTTGATTGACAATATCTTGTCTGTAGGACCTTGAGGCAACGCATCATCCGAGCTTGGGCTGCTAGGGCTACTGAAAATACGAGCCCTCGCCCTATCATACTCCTCCTTCCTCTCTTCAACACTCCTCACGGGGCTTCGTTTGAGACCAAACTCATTAGACCCATTAGCAGGGTTAGGTCGAGGCCTAACAGCAATCTTGACCTTTTCAGGTTGGTCACCATCCAACTGTTTAGCAGGAATGTCAGATAAGCGGACAGAAGGGTATCTGCTTTCGCCCGTTTTTCTAGCCACAATCTTATTTAACAGTCCGTCGATTCCATTGTCCTGTACCATGGTAACCAACCCATAGTGTTGGGCAACACGGTGTGCTGCAAGCCTGAGGTATGAAGTAGGGAAATGTTGGAATTCAAATTGCTGTTGTTCGGCATTCTGCAGGAATCTCTGGATGTCAAGCTCCATCCTCAGAACTGAATGAAAATTCAGGAAGTCAGTATGAGTTACACAAAACAAGACAAGAATAATAACCGAGAATAGTATAAGAGAAAGAACATGGACACTGAAAACAGAGATCCAAAGTTAATAGGTACATAACATTCAAATTGGAAATATCAGCTACTAAACATTTACAAACAAGCAATATTGAAAATGGAACTGACGCTTGTAATACTCCACAAGCATCCCAAAGGATGACCATGCAAAACTTAGGAACAAACTAAGTGCACGAAAAGGAGGCAATGGCAAGAAATTCTAATTCCAGTTTCCAATCCAAAGGTGTGGTCCTCAAGCTGGAGAAATCACAGGCCAATCTGAAAAACTATGAACTCTATATCGAACCAATTTCGTAATAAATACCAGAAACCCATAGGTTACATAGCAATAAGAAATAAGAAAGGGATTCAACAATGGTTTGCTCTGCAATTCCAAGCTAGATTCTAATTGTCAATGCATGACCGGAAACAAACCAGCTTAGATTGACAATTGAGGTCAAAGGATTAGTTCGAGCTGAATTCTCCATTCACAATTGAAGGCTCTGCTGCCTTCATCTAGAGCCCCATTCAGCAATGCAATCGACCACAAATCCCCCAAGCTCCAATAACACCATAATTACCAGATCTAACTATCTATGCCACAATCCAATCTCATAGCCCATTCCCGCGACTCAAAACCTTAATTCGCATCCAAATCCACCAGCAAAACACCGCACAACAAAAATGAAACCATACAGCTCTCAAGAATCGCAAGAAAACGCCACACATCCACGCATCAATTCAACCAAACAGAAACGAGATCGAAACAGCCGAGCGAAGGGAAATTCGCGAATCGACAAAGAACAAGAACGAGAAACTGACTGGTGAGACGGTGGCGCGGATTCTGGAGAGCCTCGACGAGGAAGGAATCCACCAGGGACTCCTTGTTGTCGCCGATTTGAACGCATCCAGCAGCAGCCAACTGAGCCTGGACGGGGACGGAAGCGGCGGAGGTAGCGGTAGCATCCATAGCTCGTCTGACCGGCGGGGGCGAGAGATTTCTCCCAATTCCTTCCCTCTTCTTCTGGTTTGATAACGTTTCGCCTTCTTTCTCGCCTTCTCCTGGAGGAAGAGGGAAAGAGAGAAGGGAAGGGAGGGGAGGAATCGTTAAGAAGCAGAGGAATTCACCTTCTCCATGGCTGCTGCAGGCGGCGGCGGTTTTCCCAAATTCGGTGGTGGAGGAGAAGGGAGAAGATTAGGATTGGGAGGAAGCTGGGAGGAGAGGGAAAGGAAAGGAAAGAGTAAAGAAAAACCACAGAAAACCCTTATTCCGTTGTTGGCGTGGAATTGGGGGATTTTTTTTGGTTTGGGCTTTCCCTCTCTAACTCTCTCTCTCTCTCCTCCTATCGGTTCTTCTTCCTTTCTCGCCAAATCTCTAGAAAGGAAAGACAATCTAATCTCACCGCGATTGCCCTTCCCATTTATATTTTTTCCGATGAATTAAAGTTTTTATTTTCCAATTGATTGCATAATAATTTAATGCATTTCTTTTCAGAAAAAAGGAGAGAAACCAATTGAAGAATATTTTTTTAATAAATACCCTTATTAGGACTAAAAGTCTAAACCATTAATTTAAAAAAATTATTGAAATTGTATTAAGTTAATGCAAATATCAAATATATAACGATAAGATCAAATTGCGAACAAAAGCATGAGATAAAAGCAGTATAGTTTCATTACAAGTCTATATCTGTGTTGTTAGTTATTACCTATCAAATTGGTTGACAACAGAATACCAAAGATACATGAACCGACAAATGACATTTCAAGTAGTAGCATAATTATGAAGTCAAGGTTCAAGAGGCTTCGCCTTTTTTTTTTGTTTATGAAAGAATTTATGCTACTGAACTGGCTTATCTATCTGCTAGCCGCCGCTTCAAACCTTTTAGTCTTATACCCAAAAAAAGTTTTGATTCCTTCAGTCTGGTCAAACATATTGTCTTTTTTGTCTGTCATTTCACCATTTATTTTTGTTATGAGTTATGACGAGTGTCACGATGATGACTATCGAACAATCTTACATGAATGAGTTGTTGAGTATTACTTTGGCTTGAATGAATTGCAATTTAATATTGTGTTGGGATTAATCACAAAATGTCACAATGAAGATGTGACTTTAGATCTAACCAATAAACAATGGTAATAATGAAGAAGATCAATCCACTTCAATAAGTAAGATTTTGTTGTAATGAAGATAGCACTTCTGCCTGCCTATGTAGGGAGTTTCATAATTAGATTCATTCTCCGAATGAACTCGCCATCACTATTTGGTATTTACACAATTCAATGTACAATTAGCATATACTAGTACAGCTCTCCGAGTTGGCTTTGGCTGACAGAAGGGGCTCATTTCTGCACTGTGGTTCCATCGACCCGTACATGCACAAAGAGAATGCGATTGTAACCCCTGCTGATTCTCACTTTGCTATCTGTGTATCTGCAGAAGTTGGGAACCATACAGATATATAGACTTCTATTCATCAACCGCACCAGGAAACAAACAGTTCTAACCTTTATACTTCTCGTGCAAACGTTATTAAGATGAATCGTCAACTTACAGCAACTCAAAGTCCATCTTGGTTTGCAGCTCTATGGGGTACCCAAATGCGCCTCCAATGATGGCTGCGTCGTCCATTATCACGCTGTACGTGCTGCTGCTGCTGCTGCTGCTGGACTTCCTGAAGTTCGGTAGGGAGGCATTCCCGTTACATGTTGAAAGGAGACGATGGTACATATCTTGAGATGGAGAAGGGAGGGGAGGGAGTCAAGAGAGCTTACTCAAACGTTCCCGACATGGAGAATTTGAGTCCAAGCAACATGTCCACCACGAACTTCAGCTGTCCATTGCTTTTCACAATCTGAAAGCATGTACGGGAGAGCTCAGAGCAGTCAACAGAAAGTAATGGGAATACTCGGTTGGAGATGGAAGGCTTTAAGTGGGAATGGGTTTCATGATTTGACCTGCTTTCCCATGAGACCATTGGCAGCATTCTCTATCCAACTATCTGTTTCTGTCTGAATTGTAAACGGATGGACCAATGTGAGCTTCGTCACAAGGGGGGTTGTGCCTTTTCTTGAAGTGAAATCGAGAGCAAAAATATATTATGGTGTTAGTACCTGAGAACTCCACACCATTTGCCATTCTCCTTCAACAAGTTCTTGTTCACTTTGACCTACATTGTCATTGGCTCGTAGGAACTCCTCGATTGCCTGCGAAAGTTACATCATGAGTTCGAGCTAAGAACAAAGAGGACGGGTTTGCAGAGTGAAGGCACAAATGACAATACCTCCATGACTTGTGTTCCCGTAGAGATGGCTGACAACAGTCTTTGCCTAGGTTCAGTTTCCTTTTGCAGCACAAACGTGGTGCCCTGCAATTTCCATAGCTTGCATGAACACACAATTGAGGTGCTGAAGTATGTCCAGTCCTATAGTTGTGGTTATCTTCACCTTATTCCCCCTTGAGATGCGAAGGTTTCCAGAGGGGGACAAATAGGTGGTGTCCAGCCAACCCTTTGCTTCATCCCCAAGCAGCCTAAATGGCACTGGATATGGAACCTTGAAGGGCAAGAATTTCAAGGAAAAAGCCGCCTTATCGAACTGGAAGAGTATCCGCTTCCCGTTTGCAATTGATGCTGCAGCCTGTAGAAAGGTAAAGGGAAGTCAGATAACAACAGTAACACAAAGGTGCAGAAGCTTCATATGATCCTTCTGATATAACCTAATACCGAAGCTACTGAATCTGGAATTCAGAGAACTGAAATGGGAAAGAGAGCAGGCCAAAAGTCCAGGTAGCTTCATAGATATCAGATTCCAATAGGTTCATAAATTCACACAATAAATCCATCAAGTGCTCTTGCAGATCAACTACCATGGTGTCCAACAAAATTCTTCAAGAGAATGAACGGAATACATCAATTCATCCATCCCATACCTCCACTTTGAGCTCACCAACAGCATCAGAGAACACCACAACGTTGGAAACTCGGGGATCGTCTGTACGAAGGTATACCTCTTGAAACACTTTGAAGAAATCAACACCCACAAACGTTCTCTAAGAACCCACCATTTAAACATGCATTAGACACTGATTCGGATTGAATATTACCAACAAGCAGAGAGGAAAAGGATACCTGAATTGGGGAAGCAGTTCCTGGCCTCGTGGTGAACATCAATTGCCAACGGCCTTCTATCAATTCCAGTTCTGTCTACATGAAATTGAACAAATCCATACCGTCAATTAGCCCTAAATGTACCCAGTAGCTCAAATTCAGGAATAAGGAGTAAAGGGGAAGTCACTAACCGGATCAGGCAACCCTTCTAGTCCTTCCAGAACCCTCACTGCTTGCTCCACTTCCTGCACTCACAGCAAAAGGAAATCCTAATCAGTTCTCACCCTCCATCGATTGTTAAGCAAGCGCAAGAACCCTGGAAAAGACGTACGTTAAGCTGCTGTGGACTGGCGGATTTTCCGCGGCCTTGGATTCCGATGAGAGCGTCGATCAGCCGGTTCTCCGGTTCTGAAAATAAGGGAATGTCCTTCTGCTGTTGCTGCTGGTTCGTCAGCGATGATTGGCACCGGACATTGCGGCAAGGCTTCCGTCTATGTCCTTGGGAGTTGAAGCTGCAGAGTCGCGGTGGCTCGGCGTGGAACGTTGCGGCATTCGTAGGGTTCAATCGTAGAGCTCCCAGCGCGCCGGTTACAGCCGCCATTGTTGGTAGCTATTTGCTCTGTGACTGTATGGAGAAGAAGAAGAAGAGGAAGAGGGACTGGAGGGGTGTTTTCCGTTACATGATGAGAATGAGATCAGATGAGTGGCCTTGAAGAAGCGAGAGAGACGATGGAAAGAAACAAAAATATCTGAGGAAAGGAGGGAAAATTGAGGTTTGGATTTTCATGAGCATATGTGGCCCTAGTTTACCCGAACGGTCACTAAACATTCGAGTCATTGACCCTTTAGTCACTGAACTTTGATCTTTAGTACATTTTTGCTATGTTTCACAAAGTTCATCGTCAATTCGATTAGTCTTTACTAATTCCTTCACATGTATTTTCAGATCTAAATTATCGATCATGATAGTCATATCAATGTAGGTGACAATTGATGATACGTCAGTCGTCACGTGATTGCAAGAATACAAAGATTTTTATGGGCTACAACAGTTGCATGCAACTCATACATTGAGATGTTGAGTCGAATTTCACAAGTTACAAATCTTTGTTGAATTGTGGGTAAATAGTTATCGAATTAATACATGTCAGAACTAGTCTAAATCGAATGCAAGCTGATTTTTTAATCGAATTAGATAGGAGCGAAGTATAATATGATTCGGTTTTGATTCTGACATTCCAAATTTTTGTTTTATTTAATTGCATTGTGAACCCTAGTTCCTTTCTTGTTTTAAGAAGGAAACCACAAACAAACTGATTCATAAAATTATAGAGAAATCAGAAATGGGTATAATAACTTTGTTTACAAACAGATGATTAGGCAAATTAATAAAACTCACATGCCTAAAGCCACACCTGATTCATAAACCAAAAAACAAAAGAATGAAGACACAATTTGCAAATGGTAAACTTGCATTCTTTTTTTCTTCACCACCAAGGCAAAGAAGAAAAAGAAGAGATCTTTAAACACTTCCACTCCACTCCCTAATCCCTATTGAAAAGAAGAAAAAAGCCTCCCCAAAGATGGGAAAGGAAGATAAAATGCTCACAAAAACAAAGAGACTTGGTTAGTAGCAGACCCTTTTTTCCCCCCTTCTATACTTGATCATCTGGTCCAGCAAGTATAACCTGTCATATATAGAAACCGAGATTTTCGTCCATCAAACGCTTTGATGAAGTGAACTTCTTGGTTGTGAAGGAAGTCAAAGAGCACAAGATAAGAGCATTTCTCATTACTTACATTGCAATCATTAGAGAACTTTCTGGCGATCGTAATGGCTGCATTCCTCGCTTGCTCTGTCTCGAACTTCAGCACAAAGGAGAGCCCTTTTCTCGGTTGCCAGAACAGTGACTTTGAGGCAGCATTGCTACAGATCGCTCGAGCTCCACATAACTAGAGATCAAGAACAAGAAAAATTGTCAGCAAGGTTACATCTAAAATTGGAGTCTTTTTCCTGAAGTTATAACCTTAGAAGATTCTGTTTGACTTGGATTAGCGGGTTTATATCCAACTCATTATCTACAATCTTACTTCTTTCGGTCACTCAGCTGTAGATTCGACATATAATGATCTTGACAGTTCATGAACCAGAGTAAAATTTTACCTGCATGGATGTTGAGTAAATTTCTCTCGCCTTTGTTATCCATCCTCTACAAAGTTTTATCCTCATCTTCCCCACATTAAACGAATGGACCGACTGTGATGGATTGTCTTGTCCATTGATTTGAGAAATTGTCACCTGCATATACAACACATAAACAAAACCAACTGAGAAGAAAGCTAATATGCAAAGTATCAAGCTTTCGGGAGATAGGAGCGTTTGCTTACACTAAATTCAGCACTAGATTTTCGCAGGAGTGCCTCTACATGGCTCATAAGTCCTGGAGCTGTTAACGAAACCAAAAAGTTCGCGGGCTATTCATTTAGTACAATGTACACATGGCACAAAATGAAAGCAAGTGCAAGGAAACATTACTAATATAGGACGCACCTGGCTCGATATGACCAGCGGTCGTTACACTGCTAATGTTCTGGCCGTTTGAAACCACATCGACTTGAAGGACCCGGCCAACATCAAGTGGTTCAGGAGCATATATTGGCTTTTCAGCGCCTTTTTTTAGTCACCAGAAGAGGAAAAGAAATTGATTAAAACCATGTCAAAATGTGTAGATAGTGGAATCTGAAGTATATTATGAACCAATGACATATAATTCGTACCTAAAATGACTTCGTTGTGACTCCCTTCAGATGAGAGACGGTACCACTGAATCGAGCATTTTGAAAGTAATGGAGCATCGCTAATACGAGGATGGAGACGCAAACACGAACCGAGATTTTCCGAACCTTCAATTCTGTATATTGCTAATTTGTTCTCCTCTACTCTTTTGCTCATTGCTAGCTGCATCAGAAGAAAAAAGGAAGTCAGCTCCATGGACAACAGACAATAATCCGACTTCTTAGAGAAATGGATTAGGCATGAAATCATCACAGGGGAAAGAGAAGGTAATGAGAAACAGCAAACCTCTTTCTGAAGTTTCACAGAGAAGATGGCTTTCTCGCGGATTTGAGCTCTAAGTGCACCCAGTTCATGCTCCATGTCCATCACCTACAGAAATCACACACTTTCTTGTAATGGGAAAGAAAGAGAAGGGGGAAAAAGAAAAAGGTTAACATGACTGAGATTATTGATTATTGCAGCTCGTGTGATGTAGTGGAAATAACTAACAGCAGTATGATTCATGTGCCTGATTGCCATGTATTCAATCATACACGTCACAATTGTATAACCTTTACAATATGTAATGCCTATATTACAACTTCATCCTTGAACGAAGGAATAAACACTCAAATATTTCTCCTAGAAACATAAGACTTGCATAACAAGCAAATATTTTTCCTAAAATTAGTGGGATGGAGTTTCGAGAAAGAAATAGGGGCGATTAGCAAAACAAGTCATGCAATAGCTATACAAGGAGATCATATGAGTATACCTTGCTCGGGTGATGAAGCAACTTGATTCTTCTAGCCTCTTGAACCTCCTCAAGTAGTACTTCCACATTCTGCAACACCGTCAAGAATCAGAGTCACAATTTCGAAGATCAAGTCCATGTTAGTGACAATCAAATAGAGAGAACAGAGACAATTTAAAGATGAATAAAGTTACCGGAGACACATTTTTAGAAGTTTGAGCATTCCTTTCTTCTTCCTCTAAGGCCTCCCCAAACCTCTGAACAACGGCCCTGGCGCTTTCTATTTCAGCACATGCAAACGATCTTTCTTGGCTTACCAACTTCTTAGCATCTTCTGAAGCCTGTAGACACCACAGAACACATCAATATGAATTGATGAAACAGAGTTGACGAACAAGAAGAGATCATTTAACATAATAATAATAATTCTCCGCGGACTGACAAACAAAATAACATAAGTCAACCTGTCTAAGAAAGTTTGCAAGCTTTTTCACTTCAAACTTCTCCTGAATTAGTTCACCTTCTTTTTGAGTCAACTTCACAGCCAATGCTTCCACCTGCAGTTTGCAGTAACAGTTAATTACCAACAACAAATAGAGCATTTAGATGCGATGGAATCCCAGATGCATCAAATATGGAATTCCACAAGCATCTACCATACCCAAATGAAGGGAAAAAAGAAAACAAGCAAGAGAACTACTTACCATAGAGATAGCCTGCTCCACATCTTCTTTGTTTCTCCCTGCCATACGTCCTCTTAAGGATTCTAATGCATCTCTCAACTTCTTTAAAAGCACATGCCCATCCAGAGAAGCCACTTCCCTAAGTTTCGCCTAATTACATCAAAGACGAGAGAGTTAACTACAGGCCTAACATCATTGCCAAAGGGTAGTTTTCTTCAAAGACAAAAGTACAAAATGTCATAAGCCAAAAGGGACAAAAAGAAGCAGGCCGAGATAACAAGTGCAGAATATGAGCAATTGGCAAAGGTTTTGAGAGAGAACCTCCTCAGTCAACTTTGCAGCAGAAGACAAGTTATTGTCGAATTTACTGGCGAGGTCGCGAACCGAGAGGCGTTTATGCTGATCTGAGAGCTGTGTTGTCTCCTGCTCAACAATGTCCTTCAAAGATGGTCCCTTTTCATCCTCTTTTGGCTCTTCCACTACCTGATTCTCAGGTCCTAGCTTGTACTTTGGAAACCGGTCCAAAGGGAAGCTGACATCAGCTGAAACTGGAAGGAAGATCTCCATTGCCATCATCTGCCCTCCGAGGGGACTAACCTTGGTCATTATAGATCGGGTCTAAAATCGAACTTGTTCCCCTAATTCATCAACAGGACAGCATAAGAGCAAAGGAAAAGAAACATGCCAGTATAATGTAAAAGCAACATTGCACATTTCTTGAGCTCATGAAGTAAAGAATCACATTACATGCAGATTCCATTGTCTGTCCAATATGTTAAAGAAGACAAATTCAAGCACATCACTGAAATCCCAGCATCAAAATAAGCATGCATTTGAATGTAAACTGGAATCAAGCTGATGCAAAGCCAAGGGGGAAAAACAAAGAACTAGTAAGGGGTAGTTGTTGGCTCCAATTGAAAGGACTAAATATTGAAGATCACAATTAAAAAGAAAGGGGAAACCAAAGAGTTGGTGGCGTAGGTGATCTAAACCAATGTTTTTAAACTTTCATTTCCTATCATCCAAAAAAAGATCCAAACTTTTGAATGCCCTTTATCATTGCACACTAGAAGGGACATTCTTCTTATGAACCCAAACGAAAACTTTACCAAACTCAAAGCTCCATAACTATATAATACAGGTGAATGGAAATCAAACAAGTTGCATTGAAAACACTGTCCTTTGTAAAATGCAGGCAGGAAGTCTCAGCTCAAGTTAGCAAAACTAGAAGAAGAAAAAAAAGGAGGAAGCATAATCTCCAGCCTGCTCATTCCCCACTTCAGGTCTGTCAAATTCAATTATAAAAAATTTCCAGAAAAGAATGCAGCCCAGAAGAAGAACAAGCTGGAAAAAAAAGGAAAAGGAAAAGAAATGCAAATGGGTAGAAAAAATGGAAGAACTTACAGAAAGAAAAGCAAGGACAAATGGCAGAGAGGGCCAAAAACCCAGAAGAAAAAAAGTAGTTGCTAGCTAGCAACACTTCATGCAAGGCAGACAGGAATGAATTCAGTGTGTTGGGTTTGTTTCAGAGCCAGAGAGATGGAAAAGTAAGTAGGAATGTAATGAAATAACTGTGGAGAGAAGGAGAATCAAAAAAGGAATGGCGTAATGGGGTTTTAGGCCGCTCTTCTCTGCTTTTCTAAAAGCAAGTTGATAGAGAGAGAGGAACGAAGGAAGATAGGGAAAATGAAGCAAAGAAAGAAAAGGACGCTCTCGTCTCTGTTCGGTCTTCGGTGCCTGACCGCTGCTCCAGCTCGGTGTAAAAATAGAAAACAACCATTTTCTTTTGCTTTTTTGGCATCCATCTGTACTGAAAAATGCTCTGTTTGTTGCTTCGGTTAGCGACCGAATTTATTTCTGTACTGAAAGTGAGAACTCCTCCTTTTAGATTTACCTCCAACCTTTCGATATTGATTAAGTTGGTAGCTTGCACCAATCACAGATACAGTGAGAGGTTTTGTATCTTTTAGATATTAAAGTAAATAGATGTTATGTTCTGCTTTCTATAAGTGTTGATTCTTCAATTTTAGTTGTTTGCTTATTTTCAAGAGTTTGTATCGATGACGTCGCTTATAATCCTAAATTTAAAAAATTTATTAATCTATTTAGACTTCACAATTGTATAGGGTTTATAATGTACGATATACTAAAGTCCTCTAGTAAAATGTCCGATGTTGATTAACTGGAAACAATTATTTATCATCTACATCTCGACATACGTTTTTAACAAATCGAATAACTCAATAGTTTTCTGATTCTCATTACAAACTCAATTAGCTAGTTAGTACCACCAATAATCTATAAGTTTGAAATTGGGCAGCTCTAAAATCTTTGTCAATACAGCTCATAAAGGTTGCCCAGTTAGGTCATTTAGCACTCCCCTGGCCCTTCATGAGGTTTTTCCTTTCATTTAGGGTTATGGGCCATCGGGCCCAAAAAAGTAATGAATGAAAGAACATGATAACCAGAAGTGGGCCCATTTCATATTTATCGGGTCGGGTAGTACTACCTAGTGCCAAACTGCCAGCCTTTTTCTCCTTCCTTTTCCTTTTCTCATTGGCTTTATTACCCCTTTCACCCTTTTTCTATTTCAAGTTTGACCGCTCCTCTCAATTGCAACGACCACGGTTGGGGTGATGGCAATAAGGTAATTTCGCCCCACATTTAGCTCTCTATACTCAAGGCGGTAAATTCGTAGCTAGTTTGTGCACAAAATGATTAGGTTCAACTTAATCATGACTTATAACATGCTCAGAGATAAAATGATTTAGAAGGATTGTTGGTTATAACTTTTTCTATTAGTAGACCCATATCTTAGGTTTGTTCATGGTTGTTACACTTAGACCGAACCACTTGATTGAAATGGGTTTGACTCTAACTTACCAATCTACCATGCTCTACTCGTTTGATTTAGCTTGAAATTATAATTATTCCTTACCAACTAGTCTCAATGGCTTGACCAAAGCAATTAAGTTAGTCAGCCAACCTTCTCTCACTGTTTTTCCATGAAAATACATCCTCGAATTGCTTTCACCACATATTCAAGTCAATTGAGTTTATCACGATTCACCGGTCGAAATCTCTCAACTCTTTGGTTCGATTAAATGAATTATTAAAGTCGGTTTGACAACTTTGGATATAACAAGTGAATTGTGAAAGAAGAATGATTGATGAAATTAACCTAATACAAAGTGGATGGATACAACTAACCAAACCTTATAGTATATATACATGATTTCATCAAAGTTGACTCCCCACCATGTACGTTCACCGAATTCACTACGATCAAACACATCTTTAAGAACTAATAAGAACGATTATATATATAAGTCAACAAAAGCAAACCCCCAGCATATTATGAAAATAAAATTAAGGTTGATTAATTGTTCTGGACAGAAAAGTCTAAGACCAAGAAGAATGTTTAGTGAGCTGAAAATCATATTCTATTGGATTGTGTTTAAACTTTTAATTAATAAATAATTAAATGAAATAAGCAACCAAAGGGAACATTTGGTAGGTGATAGTTGGGAGAGGATGATGGTGTTGGAGAACTACTCAATTGCTCCCTCTCCAATCATTATTAATTAATTGAATGGACATAACTACTTGGTAAAAAAAGAAAAGAGCATGTTCGATAATCGATATAACGTTCATCTTATAATATAAAAGTACCCCGATGAAATAATTATTTGATAAATTTCAACATGCTTGATAACCTTGACATACTATATAGGGTGGGCAATAGTAGCTTACCCTAATTAACCCTTTAGCAAAGGAAAACAAACTGTAAAAACACACAGACACTTCAAATCGAAACGAAACGGCGGCGTTTCCGCCGTACGACACCGTTACAACTTGTATTAATCAACGGTTTCATTTGATCAGCCGGAACTGAAGCTGGCAATCCCCTGGATGCAATCCTCCGCCGCAACCAGACCCCTCGCAACGCTTCAGAAAACCGCGAATATGACCGAGACACGCCGAGCACTCCGTCGGCCCGCCCTTGAAACAAGTCCCCGTCGCCGCCACGGCGCCGCCGCCGAGGTTCCCCCGTGGATCCGACGTCGTGGTGAAGATGGTGTCGCCGGAGGCCGGGTTCTTGACCTGACCGGGAGTGCGCTTCACCACGTCGTCGAGAACCGTGCGCACGCGGCGGCGGAAGTTCTCCTGATCATTTGCCCGACCGCAGCCGCAGAACCCGGTAGCGGTCGCGAAAAGCGCCGCCGCGAGGACTGCCGTTACGGCGGCCTTCATTAGGGTGGTAGAATTCATGGGTTTTTGAATTTTCTTTCTGTTTATGATTCTTTCTTGCTCGATGTGATCGATTACAAGTAATACGCTAGAAGATATATATAGAATTATAGATATATGCATGCACGAGACAGCTATCCGTACGTCGTCGTATGTGGATGGCGGCATTATCCTTAAACCGAAGCAGCTTTCAGTGCCGCCCGACCGGCGGTGAAAACTACGGCTATGGTGGATCTCTCCGGAGACGGGAGTGATAAGGACAAGTGTAGTAAAAAACGCGCTTTTACGTAAAAGTGTTTTGGTTATCTAGAAGCAATTAAGTTTTTAAACTTTAAAGCGTGTTTTTAACTATATATATAACTAAAAAACTATGATTCTTCTGCGTAGAAGTGTTTTGGCGACCTATTACGTTTTTATATTTTAAAGCGCGATTTTGACTACAATGATAAGGACAGATGTTCTTGATATCATATGGGGACAACAATGGGTCGAGTCGGATTAGATTTTTCCGAATGTAATTTAAGTATATGTAAAAAAAAAATCATGATATGTTTTTAGGTTCTTAAAGTGAAAATCCAACCAACATATACGACGTGAGTGTATAAGTATCTATAGGTTTATAGATGTAATTATAAATAATTTCTCCCAGCATTCACATTTGTATATCATGAAAATTTCCCACTAATCATATCCATTCATTATGCATACTATGAGATTACGTTGTAAAAAATTCTTTTTTTTGGTGTACGTTGTACAAAATACTAATGACATATGCAAATTATTTATATTGTTAGTACGTACGGTCGGTTAGATATAAAATGATATATCACTTTATAAATAGTCGATATAAAAGCATATACTTGCACTCGAATGATTGACTGGATCCAGCCGGCCGGCGTAAAGATTCTGCCTTATATATACATATCACTCAAAATATATATGGATGCTGACATGGTGTACGTAGCCTGCAGTAGGCTTTCCGTTAGTTTCTCCGGCCAGCCGAAGTATACGCGCCCAACTGTTGCTTCCATGGTGCAATCGTGTGAAACTGTATCGTATTGACGGTTTGTCATAATAAAAAAATATTGATTGATGGTTTTTAGCAGTATAAAAGGGTTAAACAATAATTTCAGTTCAAAATACTTACCGATACTGTTTCACGATCTTACCATGGTGGTTTCCGTTGAGTACTCATTTGCCTTTTCCCGGTGAGTGGTGAGTGGTGACCATTGGAAGCAGAGGGTTTCTTCACTCTTTTCATGTACCTATCTCCTTAATTTGTTTCCATAGCTTTGTATTTTGAAATACTCATTGTATCCATAATTTTATTTGAAATTCATGTTAAGTTAATTAGGTACATAACATGATGTGCATATCCTTTACATAACTATTGGTAATTCGTTGATTGTATTGTCTTTTCTCATATATATTAACTCTTAATTTTGATAAGAAAACAAGTTTCTTGTCTCGCCAACAAAAAATTATTCTTGTCATTTACTCATAATAATATTTATATTGTTACTCAAATTTCTATGTAAGTCCATTTGTATCTACGCACATATATAACTTATCTTCTCATGTAATGTCACCAATAATTTCATATACCACTCGAACAATTTTTCGCGCAATGCCTACTCCTTGGTGGTTCCCCTCTCTGTTCCTTTATTTTTCTCCGCTGCCGACTGGTTCTTTACTCTTTTATGCGTATGGTATCTAAAATGCACCTTTTTTTTAATCCAAGTGACATAATGTGACATGGAAATTAAAACTATACATGGGGAAAAAAGAATGATAATGCATGTGTATGAGTATGATCACTCGCTTTGGTGATCCTGCAGTTACTACCGAGATTTTGCTCATAACATATCGTTAATATTGTACCCGATCGCATATTTGATGATATGTTACGTCAAATACAACTTTTCATTGTGTAATATCAAAAGCATGCATATATAATTGATAGATTTTACTCGGGATATATAGCATTATGCGAAATCCCGTAACTTACATTCGACCACAACAAAATAACCCACATTTCAAACCATAATAGCAACATACAGATTATTGGATATCATAGTACCCTTCAAATACCGGAAACGACGACGTACAGTACTTCAATTCATTTCTTTCGTTAATCCAACGGTCTTCATTCGATCTGGCGAAACTGAAGGCTGCAATTCGCCGGAACCTTGTCTCCCCCACAGCCGGAAGCCTCGCAAGGCTTCAAAGACTTCCGAATCCTACCAAGACATTTTGCGCAGCTAACTCCGGCAGAACAAGAGGCGGTGGCGGCGGCGCCGCCGCTGCGGAGCGATGCGGAGCGAACCGTTTTGGTGAAGGCTCTGTCGCCGGAGACCGGGTTTACGGGCTGGTCGGCCGTCAGCGTCACCATGTCGTCGAGAAGTCTGCTTACGAGATCAGAGTACACCGCCAGATCCTCCGTCGACGCTGGGCCGCATTTGCAAATACCTTTACCTTTCTGGCCGGAAACGCTCGCAAATAACGCCGCCGATAATATTGCCACAACGGCAGCTTTGATGAACGGCGACATTTTATGTGTATGTGTGTCTTTTTTTTCTTCTTCCTATTTTCC